GGGGTGGGGAGGGGAGGTTTTGGATGCAGAATGGGTAGGGGGGTGGGTTTCGGAATGGGTGGAGGGGGGAATCTACAGCTTGAGGATGAAGAAGATATTCTTGGCAACAACGCTTGGAAAAAGACGAAGGCAACAATTAGAGAAGATCAAGAAGAAGAAAGAGCTGGCAAGAAGGCTGTCGAGCTTCTTCTCTCTCTCCAGATCTAGCGAAGATGAAGGGTCTTCTACATTTAAACGAGTGGGATGGCTAATCGGTTNCAACAATGCTTGGAAAAAGACGAAGGCAACAATTAGAGAAGATCAAGAAGAAGAAAGAGCTGGCAAGAAGGCTGGCGAGCTTCTTCTCTCTCTCCAGATCTAGCGAAGATGAAGGGTCTTCTACATTTAAACAAGTGGGATGGCTAATCGGTCGGAGCAGATTTTTAGAGCTTACCTCACCAAAATAGCTAAGAATGAAGATTTAGCTAAAGGGTTGGAGTTGCTCTAACTACCCAACGAATTGTATTGTCAAATGATATTATTTTCAGAATTTTGAAACCTCTCTGGATGAAGTTGTANTAAACAAGTGGGATGGCTAATCGGTCGGAGCAGATTTTTAGAGCTTACCTCACCAAAATAGCTAAGAATGAAGATTTAGCTAAAGGGTTGGAGTTGCTCTAACTACCCTATGAATTGTATTGTCAAATGATATTATTTTCAGAATTTTGAAACCTCTCTGGATGAAGTTGTAATTTTTCTGGGTAGTATTCTTGTTAACCTTGTGGTTGAAAACATCCTACAAGGGCATTGGGTATTTTTCTTACCTTAAATCCATTAAAATTTGCAGAAATTTAACGATGATATTATGGACCGACTTGGCACACTGGCCGACGTACTATATTGTCTAGACTTGTCAATGGATTGTATTTCAACTTGAATTCAAATTCACTTAAGCAGATGTGGATAAAATTTTTAATCCATTAATCCGATTCAATCCAAATTTAATTAGAGTTGTCTAAATAGATTCGGATATGAATTTATAATAATTCGATCCGTTATTAATTTGATCCGAATAANTCGTAAATACTGTTTGTGATTATATTGCTGTTAGTTCTCCAATTTTTACTTGGACCTTCACATCGTCAGTGTTTCCTGAGAACAATGTATCATGTGAAAATTTGATCACCTGGGATGCAATGGACCATTTTGAGAACTCAATTCCATTGATCCAGCAAGCAGTGAGAGGTGGAAAGTTGTCCATCAGGAGCTGGAGACATAAGGTACACCTTGATGTACTACTGGCAAGAAAGGTTGTAATTGGGTTTAGTACGAGAGTTAGAAATTACAATTCTTCCATGTCGATATGACATGAAATCAGTTCTGCAGAAACTGCGAGCTCGGTGATCAAATAACTGAACAGTTGGAAATTTTTAGCCCTAAAACACTTACAATGTTTCCAAATTGATATTGAAGTTCAACCATCGATGGGATTAATTAGTAAAATACCATCACCAACTAAGATATAGTAACAGTATTTAATTATGAAAGTAAAGGCACTTTTCACGCCCCTTTCTTGTGTCGACCACTGTTTTACAAAATATGCAGGAAGCTAAACAGGCAACTCGGGAATCTGGAACGGATGCTCAGCTGTTGGGTTGAGAAGGTGTTTATGAGGCCCGCGAAGGCTTCCGTGGTTCATCCATGGCTTCCTCTGCCATGCCTGATGTACTTCTTGGACATGCTTCTTATCTTGCACTCCGTGAGCTCCACTGGCAGCTGAATGGACTAATATTGAGAAGCTAAAAATGAATAGCAGGAGAGCAAGGGAAGTGAGAAGGGGTCTCCCCTGCACCATTGTGCTTATGCCTTGTAGCAACTTGCCTGTGTGGGTGTGTGTGTGTGATTTATAAAGAGGCTAACTTTGCTTAGAAGTCAGATGGAAATCATTTCTGTATGTTAATTGCTGGATCAATTATTACGCTTTTGGTTGGTTTTACTGATGGGGTTGGTTAGGTGTCTGTGGTTGTCATGATTATGATAGAGAACTAGTATTGCTGAAACTAGCATATATTAATGATGTGGTGAGTATAATCCTTGGTGCAAGGACTAGTTTAATCAATTATGACATGAGCGTCAAGTAATTAGAGTATAAAATTAATCTTTTCTTTTTAATAAATTAAAATTGCATATATTTAGCTTTTTTCATAACCGAAGTTTCGTGCTCAGTACATGTTTAGGATTACGGCCTATTATGGTGCATAACTTAGATGGGCCAAAAAGTGTTATGTCATCCCATAGCTTGGTGCTCCCATTTACATCAATGCCACATGGCAGCTCCTTATAGGTAATGCTCAAGCACTCTAGATTGTACTTAAATTAGTTTGATGTCTACGTTTAAGAACAATTTTAACTATGATGGACAAAATAGTTATTCTAAATATATTTAAATATTATATTCTCTATTTTAGTTAGTAATTTTTTCAAATTCTCTCTATTTTAGTTGACTATTTTAACTAATTTTCAATAATATAATTCAAAATTTTAACTCAAAACATGTATAATCATCAACACAACCAAAATTATATCATAATAATAATTCTAATTAAATTTTAAATAATACAATTTAATGACAATTTAACACTCATTCACTTTAAATAATAAAAATCAATTGCACAATACGTCTCATAAATCTAAGATTTTTCCAAATATTTAAATTAATATTTTCATAGGGTCTAAATGTAAATATTCTATAATACATAAAACTAAGCGAATTTTTAAAATTTGGAGGGGGGTTTTAAAATTTGTTTGGAGAGTTTAGAATTTGGGGGGAGGGGCGTTTCAAAAATGGGTGTCAGAATTGNTGGGGAGGGGAGGTTTTGGATGCAGAATGGGTAGGGGGGTGGGTTTCGGAATGGGTGGAGGGGGGAATCTACAGCTTGAGGATGAAGAAGATATTCTTGGCAACAATGCTTGGAAAAAGACGAAGGCAACAATTAGAGAAGATCAAGAAGAAGAAAGAGCTGGCAAGAAGGCTGGCGAGCTTCTTCTCTCTCTCCAGATCTAGCGAAGATGAAGGGTCTTCTACATTTAAACAAGTGGGATGGCTAATCGGTTGGAGCAGATTTTTAGAGCTTACCTCACCAAAATAGCTAAGAATGAAGATTTAGCTAAAGGGTTGGAGTTGCTCTAACTACCCAACGAATTGTATTGTCAAATGATATTATTTTCAGAATTTTGAAACCTCTCTGGATGAAGTTGTAATTTTTCTGGGTAGTATTCTTGTTAACCTTGTGGTTGAAAACATCCTACAAGGGCATTGGGTATTTTTCTTACCTTAAATCCATTAAAATTTGCAGAAATTTAACGATGATATTATGGACCGACTTGGCACACTGGCCGACGTACTATATTGTCTAGACTTGTCAATGGATTGTATTTCAACTTGAATTCAAATTCACTTAAGCGGATATGGATAAAATTTTTAATCCATTAATCCGATTCAATCCAAATTTAATTAGAGTTGTCTAAATAGATTCGGATATGAATTTATAATAATTCGATCCGTTATTAATTTGATCCGAATAAATAAAATATACTATGTAAATAAATGTCACATATATATTATATTTATATTGAAAAATAAGTAAAAATGGAGTGAATATCAAAATATAAGACCCACTTTTTCTATTTTCATTTTGTTTTCCGCTCTTATTTGGTTTTTCCTCTTGCTTTCACTCTAATTTTTCATTTTTCCTCTTTTTTTTTTAGTTCATTATCCAAATTCTTATCGTTAATTTTTTTAGCATACATTTGCTTTTTGTGATAATAAGAATCGGATTGAATTTTTGGATCGGGTATCCAAAAATTAATGAATTCAGGCATGAATTGAATTTTGTAATTTCATCAAATAATCAGATTGAATTAGATTCGAATTTGGATATATGACGATATGACTAATACTATATCCATTGAGAGGTCCAGATCGGCCTATGAATTGGGCCGTTGGACCATTTAATGGTCTGCACAAAGAAGGGATAGCCATGACATGCCTAACAACTACCACGTCGGTCTTTAGGGCGCTTATAGCTGCCTATCAATCTGATTTGTCCTAAACGAGCTTAAACAAAGCACATAGATTTTTTTTTAATTTTGTTATTTAAAAGCAAACTGTCAAGAATCCAAGATGGGGGTGAAGAGGACTACTCTATTTTCTCTTCCAAATTTGATGCTTTCTTTTTCACTCGGAGGTTTAATGTCAGTAGGCTTATTTCTTGATTAATTCAAATTAGGGATATTTGGATCGATTTAACTTTTTACTCATTTGAACATGTGTTGTACAGTTCATGTAGTGGGTGAGAATTAGTTTGTCAAAACGCTAATTATAATCTATGAAATGGAAATCAGAACATTTTTTGTGTAGAAATCAATTGATCGCGTCTAGTCGAATGCCTCTTGTTCTAGTGATGATGTTTAGTTTTTCTCTAATTCAATTTCTATGTAAGGTAAATAGTTACCAAACTTTAGTGTGTTCAGAAACGTGTCATATAACATAATTCAAGAATGAGTTTAACAATGGTCCAATTGTATTATTTATTTTGTAAAGATTTTGTCTTTTTGAGGTCAAAGATTCAAGTCTCCTTTCCCCTTTTCCCTCCTCAAATTAAAAAAAAAATGATTTCAATTTAATCCATAAAACTTGTTTATATTTAAGCTCATGATTACTTCTCGATTGGTGGGTGTTTATATGTTTAAGTTTAATAGTTAATTTTGACTTGTTCTTGAACTTTATAGATTGGTCTATCAGCTCAACTGGACCTGATCGATTAGTGTCAGAGGCTAGTCAATTAAGTTCTCTCCTGCAGTTAGCCAGTCACTACCAACTTCAATAACATATCAGTTCGGTCCTAAAAAAATGTGTAAAACCTACAAATATGATCTAAATGACTTAAACATGACTTTTTTCGAGCTTAAAGTCTTTTAAATTTATCGAAATTTGTCTCACATTTGTTCTCTCAAATATTTAAGAGTTGCATTCATAATTCTCATGGCGGCACCCTGAGAGCACCTTTCAAATCAGCTGAAAAAGAAAGAAAAAAAGGGTTTCTTTGTCTTTTTTTTGATTGTGAAGGAATTTGAGACCGATTTTCAATTTGTTTCTCTCTATCTGAAGAGGTTTGAACTTTGTATGGTGGGAAGATCTTCACGATTAACATCTTTCTGTCCATTAAAGAAAGTAAAAGAAAACAGACAACGAGTTGGAGGACGCTGCAAAACCGTGTGATTGATTCATATGCGCTATTCCCCTCAACCCCTAACATTCTATTTCAAAAAATGAAAGAAAACCGACTACCAATCGCATGTTTTTCTTATTAGCGTGGGATTGGACGTTAACGATGAAAGACAGAGTGGGTGTTGCTGCCTGCCTCAGTGGACTGGGCGTATCATATGGGCCAAAAGAAGCCCATTGGCCTTCATTATGTGAGCCTGGTAGTCGGATTTTCGGGTCGCTTGCTGGTTTACCAGATAAACTCGTTGCTAAGAAGCGGGTTAGTCCGATAAAAGCTTTCATTTATAGTCTGCTCCCTCACATTTGTACTAATTACAGTTAAAGGCCCAGATTTTAAATTTTTCTCTCACATTCTATTCCCGTCTTGGGAGCAATAAAAAAGACTAATTAGGAGAGAGACAGAGAGGTTTTTATAAGATTTATGTACCCACACCGTGCACGCACAAACAACACATCTCTCTCTCTCTCCCACCGAGTTCATCGTACTCGTCACAGCAATGGCTGCTCTGCAATACTTGGAGTCTCTGCGCACTGACCATCCAGAGCTGTCCGATTGGTACAGTACCCTCGCAGATCTGTACCAGAGGAAGCTCTGGCACCAGCTTACCCAAAAGCTCGAGCAGTTTGTCGCTCTAGCGGTGTTTCAGGCCAGTCTCTTTCACTTTTCTTCAATCTCAATTTTTCTATCTATACATATGTTTTTATATATTAACATGTGAAGAAATGAAATAAATTGTTGAATTTATTGTTGTTAAGTGATTGTTTTGGGTTTGGATTGCCGAAATTTTAGGGCTTTGTGTGGACAGAATTTCGTTGAGCCTGGGTTTGGAGACCGAGTGAGGTTTTTGGGAGAATTAGTGCTTTTGTTTCAGAATGTTTATAGGGTTTGTAATGAAGTCAAAAGGTGGTGTTTGGTTTTGGAGAGAAGTGAGTCGAGGTTGAGTAAAAAGAGAATTCGAAAATTGAGGTTTGTAAAGAAGTCTTTCGGTGTTTTGTTTACAAGATGAAAAGACTTAGTTCAACTGAATATTGCCTATTTCAGAGTTGAAACTTTCCTATAAGATACTTTGGCTAAAGAGGGGAAAAAAGTGAAATGAAGGTCTCGTTCAAAACATCAAAATTGGTATTCGATAAATCTTATGATTGAACACAGCGAGGGTGATAATAGATTAAGCATTACCAGTTTAAGTCTTAGACTCTTAGGTTGTCGTTATCTTTATTTTATATTTTCTCATCTATTAAGGTGTATCTCTGTGCCTGGGTCCGGTGGGTGAAAATTGTGACAAAATTCTTTGAACTCTTGGCTTTTGTTCTGTGAAGAACTTGTTGACAAGACTCCCTTAACATGGATGAATAGTTGGAGCTGCCTAGACAATAAATGAGGTAAATAATTGGGTGACATAATAACAAGCGATAAGGAGCATCCATTCTTCTTTTTTGAGATCAATTGGATATATTGAGTGGCTATAAGTGGGATTGGATGGAGCGTTATTTTGAAGTGCTGTTTAAGTGTGATGTGGACTTGATTGTTTAAGGTATTTAGTCGGAGTGCATTCTATGTTGCTTTTTACTCATCAACTTGTGCAAAGGTTGATTGAAATTGTTAATGCCACACTTATAAGTTATGACTAAAGGAACTCTTATGAGCTTATTGGGTGGAGTGGTATTTTCCACATGCCATATTTTGAATATGTTTCTTCTTACAGAACATTCAACATTCCATGGCTCTCAAATTTGGAGAAAAAATTGGATATTTTGTCTTCTAGATAGGGGATATTTTGGTGCACGCTATCTGTACAACTTGGATCCTAATGCTAAATTTAGATTCACTTGTTCTAGTTTATCTATCCTCAAATGTCTAGTATGGTCAATACAAATGTTGTCTCCTCATTTATCACATGATTTGAAGCAGTATGAGACATGGTTCAGAGGACATGGAGACACAACAGTCACAGTGTTGCAAAATGATATTAGCCAATGTGTACGAATGCTAGANGCTATATAATTACTCACATAAAGAATGTACTAAAGAAAATGAAAATTGAAAAAGTTGGATAGTGTACCAATTGAGGTTTGAAAGTGTTTAGAAGATTTCGGGGAGTATCGACTAACTAAAGCATTGAAAAAGATTATAACAATTAGGAAGATGTTAGATGAGTGGAGAAAGNTCGTGGTGCCACGAAATAGTATTGCATCATCATGAAACAATGGTTTGACCAAGCGTTTCGAGGCATATCCGATTCAATCATACGTGTGTCAATTTTGGAGAGGAATGTTTCAGCCTCACAACGCAATAGTTCAAGTTATTAGGTAGAGAACCNAACTATCGAGGTATTAAGTTAATTAGTCATACAATGAAACTTTGGGAGCAAGTGATCGAGCAACGATTAAGACTTGAAACAATCGTATCTGAGAATTAAATTTGGGTTTATGCTCGAAAAGTCAACTATGGAAGTTATATATTTACTCAAGAGACTAATAGAAAGGTATAGAGAGAAAAAAGAAAGATCTTCATATTAGTGTTTTTAGATTTTGAAAAGACATATGATAGAGTGTCTAGGAACATAATATGGTTAGTGGGTTTTAGAGAAGAAGAGAGTTAGAAATAGATATATTGATATGATTAAGGATGTGTACGAGGATGTAGTAACCTTAGTTAGAACAATCCTAGGAGAAAGTAGTTAATTCTCAATCACGGTGGGCCTACATTAGGGTTCCACTTTAAGTTCATATTTCTTTGCCTTAATTATTNAAAGTATTGTGATCAAGGACCCTTGTGTTTTATCTGCCCCAAAATGGTCATTGAATGGCAGTGGTTGTGGACTCTAATGATGTTGAAGTAGTGATAAATGATACAATGTATCAGACCATGCTTAACAACCGAACATATTGAATGCTATTGCAAAATTTATTTGGCTGCAAAACTAAATGAATTACACTGCTAATGCTTGAAGAAATGCAATGCAAAAATAGGCGGTCAAACATACCATTTTGGGGGAGCTTATGTATCCACTTGCTAATTGACATCAGGCTGCATATTTTCTGTATGACATTATTTGGGGTTTAGTTGCGTGTGATCACTTTTTTTGGGTTAAGTTTGAAGTTATGAACACTCGNGAATATATGACATGTAGTTATAATAGTAGAAACCCAAATAGGGAGGTAGTGAAGATCAAAGATCAAGACATACCCAAGAGTGAACATTTTAGGTATTTAGTGTCAATTATCTATAGAGAGAGAGAGATTTGATATAATGTTAAGCATAGAATTAAAGTAGGATGGACTAGATGGAGGAGTGCATCTGGTGTATTATGTGATCGACGTATACTCCTTAGGTTGAAAAGTAATTTTATAAACCAACTATTAGACTAGAAATGCTTATTGGGGCAGAATGTTGTGCAATGAAGAAATAACACACTCAAAAACTAGGTGTTATAGAAATGAAAATGTTAAGATGGATGTATGGTAAAACGAGAAAAGATAAAATTAAAAACAAGTATATTTGTAAAACTATAGAAGTAGTACCAATAGGAGATAAACTAAGAGAAAAATGACTTAGGTGGTTTGGACATGTTTATATAAGACGTAATATGAGAGGTTGGGTAGCCCTAAAATAATTGTGAATGAAATAGTAAAATGAGGATATGATAGCTTATAGTCTAACGGAACATATGACCCTTGATAGAGCGCAATGGAGAAAAATGATTTATATAGCCAATGCCAAATAGTTGGAATGAAAGATTTGTTGAGTTGAGTTGTACACTTAGTGTTTTAGTAAACAAATGCACTTTACTTTGCCAGGGATATCAAAGAATGAATCCTGGCAGGTCTCCCGTGATTTATACCCTCACATCAAACCTTGACATAGAGGAATAGGAAAGCCTTTGGCGTTTATTACCTAAGATTAATCACCCAAAGGTGATGGTTCCCTTTATCAGATAATGTTTACAGAGAATGGGAGCCACTGATTGGGCAGAGAATGACTTGCGTAATCATTATCTGGATCTTCTATTGTGGGGTGGAAAACTTGTTGCTCTCAATCTGCCTTCATATTCTTTGAGACAGTCTACAGGCAAATTCTCTGATGAGTTTCCATGCTCTGGCTAGACAATGAATTGAGAAGTGGCTACTGTTTATGACGTGATGTCTCTCATACTGATACCTTACCAGAAATTAGAGGTGTCTTTTGTTGATTGCTTTGTACCATCTCTTCATCGTTTTTACAGATTCTTGTAGCTGTTTATGCATATGTTTTTTTTACTTGACTGGGAAACCACAGTATGTGGAAATTTGATTGTGCTTATATGCTTTTTGTTCACGTGTAACACCTTTTTCTTTATCCTTGTTACAATTTTCAACTTTCAGGCTGGCGATGCTCTCATACAGTTCTACCATAATTTCATCACTGACTTTGAGACTAAGATCAATCTTCTCAAGCTCGCACATTTTGCTGTCATAGTCTCTCGACGATATGCCGAGAAAGAAGCTGCCATTAGTTATCTTGAAGGGGTGATTGAAAAGCTTCGTGCTACTAGAGGGATGCGCATTGAGGAGCCAATCCTTTACATTAAGATGCAAATAGCTATATTCCAGCTTGAGCATGGGGACCAAAAAGAGTGCAAGAAACTTCTAGAAGATGGGAAGAGTGCGCTTGACAGCATGACAGACCTGGATCCATCTGTATATGCTAGCTATTATTGGGTTTCATCGCAATACCATAAATCTTGTCAGGAATTTGCTGAATTCTACAAAAGTGCTCTTCTTTATCTGGCATACATGTCAGTAGAGTCTCTATCTGAAGCGTTTAAGCTTGTAAGCAATTATCTATTACGTCCTGCACTAGGTTGGTTATGCATTTCACATGTAGTTGTAGGTTGCATCTATAGTTGGTAAAAAATCGCAGTGAACATGTTTTGGNTCTATCTGAAGCGTTTAAGCTTGTAAGCAATTATCTATTACGTCCTGCACTAGGTTGGTTATGCATTTCACCTGTAGTTGTAGGTTGCATCTATAGTTGGTAAAAAATTGCAGTGAACATGTTTTAGCTTTATTTTCTCATTGCGTTTTTATCCTTGTAGTGTTGTTTTATTCCCACATGAAGCTCTAGTTTATGATGAATGCATATGATCTGCCATTGCCATTGCCAAAACTGTTATTGAACTTCGTTGGATAATAATCAAATACTACTTGAGTGGCAACAAAAAAATACGAGGGATCTACTTGGACAATAATGGGGACAACAAAGAGAGAAAGCAAAGTTTAGGGAGAATTGCCAGTGGCCTAGCAAGAATATATCTGAAGAATAGCTATTAGGAAGATATAGTTCCCTTGTAAGGAACTATAAATTAGCCGTTATCTCAACCACCATTAAAAGATAAGGAAATTTTTTAGGTGTAGCTTTCTTTTTTAGTTAAGCATAGGTCTAATGAAAGTTTTCCCTGCAGAGCGTGCCTTTAGCATTAGACTCTGATTGATGCGTATTAAAATTATGATTGATGATGCTATTTTTGTCCACTATAATAAGCTTTAAAATGAAACCTTTCAGCTCCTATAATTTTGAAATGAGGAAAAACTTGCTTCTTGTCTGAATTTCTTCAGCTGTCTGATTGAGCCTTCTGATGATATTGAATTAGCTTTGCATCTGTTTATGGGAGTGTTTCATTAGATGTGCTGGTATTGGCCTGTAAACGACAGTCTTGGGTAAAGTTGCCTTTAATGGCTCTAGTTGGGATAGGATGGATCATTATTAATCTTAACTACAGTTCAATCCTTTTTGTATCTCTTGAGTGATGCATTTATGCATTGTTGAGTTTCTTATTTTTTGAAGTGTTTTGCTGTTACTAACTTCTCCATAATTTTTAACATTTCTTTAGGATTTAGCGTTTGATTTATCCCTATCTGCATTGCTGGGAGAAGACATTTACAACTTTGGAGAACTGCTTGCACATCCAATTGTAAGTTATGTTCATAAAAAATTTCAATTTTCTTCCTCTTTTTCCTGTATGTGAGCTTGTATTGCTTTGAAGAGATCATGAGGATCTCAGTTATATGGCTCTTATATCAGGTGAACTTATTTAAATGTTATATTACTTCATTGCTTGTTGCTTGTGAAATGCCCAAAGGAAAGGATTTTCCATTATTTTCTGCATCACGTGGTTGAAGTTCTCTTCAGTTGCAATTGAATATAGTGCAACTAGGATGCATTGCAGTTCGGTTAAATTACAGCCCATTTTGCGTGCTAGGGTTTTGCATGTTGCCATAGTGAATGCTATCCACCATGGGTTGGGGATGTTTAACATATGAGGTTACATTAACTTAATTTAGGGTTTGGAAGATGAGGTGAAAACTGTGTGATACTCTCTTGCGACTTGCCCAAACTACTTTGGAAGCTGCAGAAGTAGTTTCAAAAGACTTCCGACGGTGGAGTGAGAATAACTAGCTTTTTTATAATAAAATTTGGTCCACAATAAGAATCAAAACATAGTACAACATGCATTATTTGTTGCATGAACTAATTTTATTGTGTCTGGGATTCTTGAAATCCAGCACTGATGATGTTCGCTTTAAGAATGTGATGCAAACTTCTGTTTAGCTTCGTGCTACCTTGGGAGTGTAACATTTTTTAACTTCTACAGATAAAGAGTCTTCTAGGAACGAAGGTTGAGTGGTTGTACTATATTCTCGAAGCATTCAACTCTGGTGATTTAGTTCGCTATCAAGAGTTATGCCATGTGCATAAAGTTGCTCTGAGTGCTCAACCAGCGTTGGTGCAGAATGAGAAAAAACTACTGGAAAAGATTAACATACTTTGCTTGATGGAAATCATCTTCAGGTATCTCGGCAGAGTCCACGTGCTTTCAATCAAATTAGAGCAATTTACATAATTCATGACATTTACATATTGGTACTGAAATCAGTTTAAATGCGCTTCTTGCAGTCGACCATCTGAGGATAGAACTATTCCATTAAGTATCATTGCAGAGCGCACAAAACTTACTGTCGAAGATGTGGAGTATCTACTCATGAAGAGCCTTTCTGTGAGTGCATCTCTTCTTGAAAATTGAATAGTAAATAACAAGTTTTGAACATTAGTTACAACCCCCAGGAATTTTAGATGGACACGTGCATGATCACAGACATACATGTTATATGGGGAACTTTTTCCTATCATTTTCTAGCGTAATGTAAGTACAGTGCAAGCATGCTAAACTATTAAGGTGTGCATGCCATCGCTGCATTTGTTAAAAGTCTGCTAGTCTCATTGTAGTCATTGCTCTGAAGGATAAAATCAAGAGATTGACTGACTGCTGTTCCAATAATGTCCTGGCAAGTACATTGCATTTTGATGGCCAGATATAGATCAGAAAATTTTGCTTTGTGGGAAGTAACTCTAAATTTTTCCTGATTGATCAGAAGTTTGTAGTTGCTCATGTAAAATTTAAACCAGCAGTGAGGCCAGAATCTTGTAGATTGATTAAGTAAATTTCACCTTGTAGAATGGTTTGATCTCTACTAGTTGGCAGCTCATTCAAGATTTTGGTGAAGAGTTCCCCCCCCCCCTTTTTTATCATATTCTTAGCAGATCTTCATTAGAGTATTTGGAAAATAAAATGATGTTTTACACACTCTGATTAACAGCTGGTCACATTGTTTTGTTAGAAAATTAGAGCATCTGGTTATTTTGTCTGCAATTGTAATTGTTCACTTTTGAAGTACTTAATTATTTTTCCCATCTTAATTTGTTGCATTCCGTGCTTTGGTTCACATACATTTTACTGACTTGTCTTTTCTCTTTTCCGAGTTTGAGGAAAGCTGTTCTATTTAGAAGTTCAATTAATGAGATTATCTGACTGCAGGTGCATCTCATCGAGGGGATAATTGATCAAGTGGAGGGAACGGTTCATGTTTCCTGGGTGCAACCAAGAGTTCTGGGGATTCCCCAGATCAAATCTTTGCATGATCGCCTGGACAATTGGATGGAGAAAGTACACACTGCTTTGTTATCCGTTGAGGCAGAAACACCTGATTTAGTTGCATCATAATCTTTGTTCACTGATTATCTGTTCTGCTCTCTGTAACGACACCTTTATGCCCAGAAGAGCTAGTAACCCAGTGAAGGAGAAGAGACTGTGTTATCTTTTGGGCCAAAGCTATATGCTGCCTTTTAAATCACGACTCATTTCTCATTTTTTTCCCCTGAAAGGAGCTAGCTGCCTCATGTTGGACTTGTTACTTTTTGAGTACCCTGATTGATAGTGCCCACTTTGGGACAAGATGAGTCGATTTATTAAGCTTTAAGAATGTTACATTGAACTATGTACTGGAAAATTTCATTACAGTCAAATATGATCTACGGTTTTGTGGATGAACTGCGTTTCCAATGACAGTATTCATAGATTTCTACCCTGTAATTTTGTTAGTTGATGATGTTGCGCTGTTTTCGTCGCATTTCTAATTTGGCATGAAATAGATGAATCTCGCAAACCACTGCATGATATAAATCCTTCTGGTGCAGCTCTCATCGTTGTTTGTGTTGAGGAAGAAGGTATTCAGGTGTAAAATAAATTCAAATTGTTTTTAACTCACTTAATAAATGGGTTATATTCGAATTCAGATTGGGTTCGGATCATGATCCATGGCCAGGCCTACTTGACAGCCCTATTCCTGAGTACAGAAACATGAGAAACAAATGGATGAATCGAATTCAATAACACAAAGATTCATTTCTTTCATCATATCTAGCTTTAAGTTTCCACAACATTTAAAGGAACATTATATGACAGCCTGTTCATCCTTTGTCGGGTAAGCTTCTAGTACAAAAAAAAGATGGTAATGGAGTCGCAATTGGGCAGATGAAAGAATACATTTTTAGCCTACCACTTTCATCCAAAAATATTACAGGAGCTCTAATATACACTCCAATGGTGTAAGTTCAAACAACACTCACGACGCATATTCACTTGAAAGACAAGACCACCACCTTCAACATATCATCAAACTGAAGTTGGAAAATATACATTAAAATTATTCGATTATCGCTTCCCCTTTCTTCCCTATATCGACACAGAAAACACATAAATGGTTTAAATTATATTATTCTTGCCTGATAAAAGGAGAGGAACTCACATCTGTTGTACTGTAAAAAGAATCCTCTGCCCCACCATAGTAAGTTTCTTCCTTTTCCTCATCCCATTTGACAACCTCTCTTATATACTTGAATGCCTCATCAATCGTCACTTTGTCCCGTGCCCTAGCTTGCCACACAAAAAGCTTTTGACTTGTGAGGGAAGCATACAATTCTTTGAACTTCATTGCCACATAGTAATAAGCTTGGTGGGCTAGTGACTGCTGGTGGTGGGGTCGAACAGGACTGAAATCAGTAAACCACTCACAAGTACTCAAAGGGACCCGGTTGACCTTTTCCTCAAACAGATCATACTTGTTTAAAATCAAAACAAAAGGGGTGTCCTTAAAACAGGGATGCCTAACCAGTGACTCAAAGAGGTCCTTGCTTTGTATCATCTTGTTCTGAAGCAATGGTCCGCTACCACCAGTCTCTGAGGCAAGCCACATCTGATCGTAGTCACACAAGGCAACGCAGAATACTACTACACGAACATCTTCAAACATTTCCACCCACTTGCACCCATCATTCATCCCCTTGGCATTGACTCTAATGAGCTGGTACCTGGAGACCAAAACATAAAGCAAAATACAAAGATGCAAAAAAATTATCAGATGACCAGCCACAGCCAAAAAAACATTAGAAAACAAGCATGGATCAAAATACGTTATTGTGAAGAGAACATATATTCTTATTACATTAGTACAAATAGAGGACATCCACACATGCCATACTTGTCCGCATAACAGGTCTCCTTAATTATATAATGCCTACAACTTCGGGATTCGATTATTTTTATTTCCATATTTGGACGGGTTGGGAGAGAAGCCTGTAACGCTAGGCTTCTTGGAACCGGGATCAGTTTTTTCCAATCAATAATTTTAAGACTTTGAAATTCTCTCTCCATCTATTTCTTCCTTTCTGTTTCTCTTCTTGTCTTTCCTGTCTCTTTTATTCTTTCTAGGTGGATGCCACAGCATTACCCCTCTTCCTTGAGCTTGTGATGTTTTAAGGTGGGAGAATGGGGGATCTACCAATGCCAATTTCCCTCGAGTTTTTCATAGAATTAGTTCTTAAAACAAAAGGTGCTTCCGACGTACAAGAGACCATGTATACTATACACTTGTGGATGTACCGTCTTATCCTCTAAGAACCACATCTCTCATCTCATAGAAAATTAGGAGAAGAACCCCTTCCAACCATTAACCTCCAAATTACAACCCCAAAAAAATTGACAAAAAAATTGAAGACAAAACCCTTTGAGGTGTTGGCATAACCTTCAAGAAGTTTGACTTTCTACCCCATATTTAACTAAGGTGGTACAGATGTCAAGCTTTTGTCAAACATAATGAGCAATAGTTTCATGTTAGTGTCAAGCAATAGTTTCATGTTAGTGTCAAGCAATAGTTTCATGTTAGTGTCAAGCAAAAGCGTGTGCTCTTTATCCAACAGCATAAAACCATCATCATCCTCATCAGGCAATGTCTGAGACTGCTAGGGCACGACTTTCACCATATTTTGAGACTTTTGTGTTCTCCTAAAGAAAGGACCACCAAATTCTAACCATTGGATGATAATGTCGCAAACCAATTAGTCGGCTCAATTATTTATCGGTTGGCACAAGCTTTCAAGAAACTTCCATGATATTTATTCAACTGTCACTATTTATTTTGACAAGTATGTTTTTGGAAGGTATTTTGACAAGTTACCCTAACAGGATATTTTTTTACCCAGTGAAGGGTTCCAGGCCCATGTTGCATACTCAATAGCACAAANAAAATTCAAATTGTTTTTAACTCACTTAATAAATGGGTTATATTCGAATTCAGATTGGGTTCGGATCATGATCCATGGCCAGGCCTACTTGACAGCCCTATTCCTGAGTACAGAAACATGAGAAACAAATGGATGAATCGAATTCAATAACACAAAGATTCATTTCTTTCATCATATCTAGCTTTAAGTTTCCACAACATTTAAAGGAACATTATATGACAGCCTGTTCATCCTTTGTCGGGTAAGCTTCTAGTACAAAAAAAAGATGGTAATGGAGTCGCAATTGGGCAGATGAAAGAATACATTTTTAGCCTACCACTTTCATCCAAAAATATTACAGGAGCTCTAATATACACTCCAATGGTGTAAGTTCAAACAACACTCACGACGCATATTCACTTGAAAGACAAGACCACCACCTTCAACATATCATCAAACTGAAGTTGGAAAATATACATTAAAATTATTCGATTATCGCTTCCCCTTTCTTCCCTATATCGACACAGAAAACACATAAATGGTTTAAATTATATTATTCTTGCCTGATAAAAGGAGAGGAACTCACATCTGTTGTACTGTAAAAAGAATCCTCTGCCCCACCATAGTAAGTTTCTTCCTTTTCCTCATCCCATTTGACAACCTCTCTTATATACTTGAATGCCTCATCAATCGTCACTTTGTCCCGTGCCCTAGCTTGCCACACAAAAAGCTTTTGACTTGTGAGGGAAGCATACAATTCTTTGAACTTCATTGCCACATAGTAATAAGCTTGGTGGGCTAGTGACTGCTGGTGGTGGGGTCGAACAGGACTGAAATCAGTAAACCACTCACAAGTACTCAAAGGGACCCGGTTGACCTTTTCCTCAAACAGATCATACTTGTTTAAAATCAAAACAAAAGGGGTGTCCTTAAAACAGGGATGCCTAACCAGTGACTCAAAGAGGTCCTTGCTTTGTATCATCTTGTTCTGAAGCAATGGTCCGCTACCACCAGTCTCTGAGGCAAGCCACATCTGATCGTAGTCACACAAGGCAACGCAGAATACTACTACACGAACATCTTCAAACATTTCCACCCACTTGCACCCATCATTCATCCCCTTGGCATTGACTCTAATGAGCTGGTANTTCTCCATAATTTTTAACATTTCTTTAGGATTTAGCGTTTGATTTATCCCTATCTGCATTGCTGGGAGAAGACATTTACAACTTTGGAGAACTGCTTGCACATCCAATTGTAAGTTATGTTCATAAAAAATTTCAATTTTCTTCCTCTTTTTCCTGATTGTGAACTTGTATTGCTTTGAAGAGATCATGAGGATCTCAGTTATATGGCTCTTATATCAGGTGAACTTATTTAAATGTTATATTACTTCATTGCTTGTTGCTTGTGAAATGCCCAAAGGAAAGGATTTTCCATTATTTTCTGCATCACGTGGTTGAAGTTCTCTTCAGTTGCAATTGAATATAGTGCAACTAGGATGCATTGCAGTTCGGTTAAATTACAGCCCATTTTGCGTGCTAGGGTTTTGCATGTTGCCATAGTGAATGCTATCCACCATGGGTTGGGGATGTTTAACATATGAGGTTACATTAACTTAATTTAGGGTTTGGAAGATGAGGTGAAAACTGTGTGATACTCTCTTGTGACTTGCCCAAACTACTTTGGAAGCTGCAGAAGTAGTTTCAAAAGACTTCCGACGGTGGAGTGAGAATAACTAGCTTTTTTATAATAAAATTTGGTCCACAATAAGAATCAAAACATAGTACAACATGCATTATTTGTTGCATGAACTAATTTTATTGTGTCTGGGATTCTTGAAATCCAGCACTGATGATGTTCGCTTTAAGAATGTGATGCAAACTTCTGTTTAGCTTCGTGCTACCTTGGGAGTGTAACATTTTTTAACTTCTACAGATAAAGAGTCTTCTAGGAACGAAGGTTGAGTGGTTGTACTATATTCTCGAAGCATTCAACTCTGGTGATTTAGTTCGCTATCAAGAGTTATGCCATGTGCATAAAGTTGCTCTGAGTGCTCAACCAGCGTTGGTGCAGAATGAGAAAAAACTACTGGAAAAGATTAACATACTTTGCTTGATGGAAATCATCTTCAGGTATCTCGGCAGAGTCCACGTGCTTTCAATCAAATTAGAGCAATTTACATAATTCATGACATTTACATATTAGTACTGAAATCAGTTTAAATGCGCTTCTTGCAGTCGACCATCTGAGGATAGAACTATTCCATTAAGTATCATTGCAGAGCGCACAAAACTTACTGTCGAAGATGTGGAGTATCTACTCATGAAGAGCCTTTCTGTGAGTGCATCTCTTCTTGAAAATTGAATAGTAAATAACAAGTTTTGAACATTAGTTACAACCCCCAGGAATTTTAGATGGACACGTGCATGATCACAGACATACATGTTATATGGGGAACTTTTTCCTATCATTTTCTAGCTTAATGTAAGTACAGTGCAAGCATGCTAAACTATTAAGGTGTGCATGCCATCGCTGCATTTGTTAAAAGTCTGCTAGTCTCATTGTAGTCATTGCTCTGAAGGATAAAANGTCTTTCTGTGAGTGCATCTCTTCTTGAAAATTGAATAGTAAATAACAAGTTTTGAACTTTAGTTACAACCCCCGGGAATTTTAGATGGACACATGCATGATCACAGACATACATGTTATATGGGGAACTTTTTCCTATCATTTTCTAGCGTAATGTAAGTACAGTGCAAGCATGCTAAACTATTAAGGTGTGCATGCCATCACTGCATTTGTTAAAAGTCTGCTAGTCTCATTGTAGTCATTGCTCTGAAGGATAAAATCAAGAGATTGACTGACTGCTGTTCCAATAATGTCCTGGCAAGTACATTGCATTTTGATGGCCAGATATAGATCAGAAAATTTTGCTTTGTGGGAAGTAACTCTAAATTTTTCCTGATTGATCAGAAGTTTGTAGTTGCTCATGTAAAATTTAAACCAGCAGTGAGGCCAGAATCTTGTAGATTGATTAAGTAAATTTCTCCTTGTAGAATGGTTTGATCTCTACTAGTTGGCAGCTCATTCATTTATACGATTTGGGAAAATGAAAAACAAGATTTTGGTGAAGAGCCCCCCCCCCCCCCTNCATGTAAAATTTAAACCAGCAGTGAGGCCAGAATCTTGTAGATTGATTAAGTAAATTTCACCTTGTAGAATGGTTTGATCTCTACTAGTTGGCAGCTCATTCAAGATTTTGGTGAAGAGTTCCCCCCCCCCCTTTTTTATCATATTCTTAGCAGATCTTCATTAGAGTATTTGGAAAATAAAATGATGTTTTACACACTCTGATTAACAGCTGGTCACATTGTTTTGTTAGAAAATTAGAGCATCTGGTTATTTTGTCTGCAATTGTAATTGTTCACTTTTGAAGTACTTAATTATTTTTCCCATCTTAATTTGTTGCATTCCGTGCTTTGGTTCACATACATTTTACTGACTTGTCTTTTCTCTTTTCCGAGTTTGAGGAAAGCTGTTCTATTTAGAAGTTCAATTAATGAGATTATCTGACTGCAGGTGCATCTCATCGAGGGGATAATTGATCAAGTGGAGGGAACGGTTCATGTTTCCTGGGTGCAACCAAGAGTTCTGGGGATTCCCCAGATCAAATCTTTGCATGATCGCCTGGACAATTGGATGGAGAAAGTACACACTGCTTTGTTATCCGTTGAGGCAGAAACACCTGATTTAGTTGCATCATAATCTTTGTTCACTGATTATCTGTTCTGTTCTCTGTAACGACACCTTTATGCCCAGAAGAGCTAGTAACCCAGTGAAGGAGAAGAGACTGTGTTATCTTTTGGGCCAAAGCTATATGCTGCCTTTTAAATCACGACTCATTTCTCATTTTTTTCCCCTGAAAGGAGCTAGCTGCCTCATGTTGGACTTGTTACTTTTTGAGTACCCTGATTGATAGTGCCCGCTTTGGGACAAGATGAGTCGATTTATTAAGCTTTAAGAATGTTACATTGAACTATGTACTGGAAAATTTCATTACAGTCAAATATGATCTACGGTTTTGCGGATGAACTGCGTTTCCAATGACAGTATTCATAGATTTCGACCCTGTAATTTTGTTATTTGATGATGTTACGCTGTTTTCGTCGCATTTCTAATTTGGCATGAAATAGATGAATCGCGCAAACCACTGCATGATATAAATCCTTCTGGTGCAGCTCTCATCGTTGTTTGTGTTGAGGAAGAAGGTATTCAGGTGTAAAATAAATTCAAATTGTTTTTAACTCACTTAATAAATGGGTTATATTCGAATTCAGATTGGGTTCGGATCATGATCCATGGCCAGGCCTACTTGACAGCCCTATTCCTGAGTACAGAAACATGAGAAACAAATGGATGAATCGAATTCAATAACACAAAGATTCATTTCTTTCATCATATCTAGCTTTAAGTTTCCACAACATTTAAAGGAACATTATATGACAGCCTGTTCATCCTTTGTCGGGTAAGCTTCTAGTACAAAAAAAAGATGGTAATGGAGTCTCAATTGGGCAGATGAAAGAATACATTTTTAGCCTACCACTTTCATCCAAAAATATTACAGGAGCTCTAATATACACTCCAATGGTGTAAGTTCAAACAACACTCACGACGCATATTCACTTGAAAGACAAGACCACCACCTTCAACATATCATCAAACTGACGTTGGAAAATATACATTAAAATTATTCGATTATCGCTTCCCCTTTCTTCCCTATATCGACACAGAAAACACATAAATGGTTTAAATTATATTATTCTTGCCTGATAAAAGGAGAGGAACTCACATCTGTTGTACTGTAAAAAGAATCCTCTGCCCCACCATAGTAAGTTTCTTCCTTTTCCTCATCCCATTTGACAACCTCTCTTATATACTTGAATGCCTCATCAATCGTCACTTTGTCCCGTGCCCTAGCTTGCCACACAAAAAGCTTTTGACTTGTGAGGGAAGCATACAATTCTTTGAACTTCATTGCCACATAGTAATAAGCTTGGTGGGCTAGTGACTGCTGGTGGTGGGGTCGAACAGGACTGAAATCAGTAAACCACTCACAAGTACTCAAAGGGACCCGGTTGACCTTTTCCTCAAACAGATCATACTTGTTTAAAATCAAAACAAAAGGGGTGTCCTTAAAACAGGGATGCCTAACCAGTGACTCAAAGAGGTCCTTGCTTTGTATCATCTTGTTCTGAAGCAATGGTCCGCTACCACCATTCTCTGAGGCAAGCCACATCTGATCGTAGTCACACAAGGCAACGCAGAATACTACTACACGAACATCTTCAAACATTTCCACCCACTTGCACCCATCATTCATCCCCTTGGCATTGACTCTAATGAGCTGGTACCTGGAGACCAAAACATAAAGCAAAATACAAAGATGCAAAAAAATTATCAGATGACCAGCCACAGCCAAAAATACATTAGAAAACAAGCATGGATCAAAATACGTTATTGTGAAGAGAACATATGTTCTTATTACATTAGTACAAATAGAGGACATCCACACATGCCATACTTGTCCGCATAACAGGTCTCCTTAATTATATAATGCCTACAACTTCGGGATTCGATTATTTTTATTTCCATATTTGGACGGGTTGGGAGAGAAGCCTGTAACGCTAGGCTTCTTGGAACCGGGATCAGTTTTTTCCAATCAATAATTTTAAGACTTTGAAATTCTCTCTCCATCTATTTCTTCCTTTCTGTTTCTCTTCTTGTCTTTCCTGTCTCTTTTATTCTTTCTAGGTGGATGCCACAGCATTACCCCTCTTCCTCGAGCTTGTGATGTTTTAAGGTGGGAGAATGGGGGATCTACCAATGCCAATTTCCCTCGAGTTTTTCATAGAATTAGTTCTTAAAACAAAAGGTGCTTCCGACGTACAAGAGACCATGTATACTATACACTTGCGGATGTACCGTCTTATCCTCTAAGAACCACATCTCTCATCTCATAGACAATTAGGAGAAGAACCCCTTCCAACCATTAACCTCCAAATTACAACCCCAAAAAAATTGACAAAAAAATTGAAGACAAAACCCTTTGAGGTGTTGGCATAACCTTCAAGAAGTTTGACTTTCTACCCCATATTTAACTAAGGTGGTACAGATGTCAAGCTTTTGTCAAACATAATGAGCAATAGTTTCATGTTAGTGTCAAGCAATAGTTTCATGTTAGTGTCAAGCAAAAGCGTGTGCTCTTTATCCAACAGCATAAAACCATCATCATCCTCATCAGGCAATGTCTGAGACTGCTAGGGCACGACTTTCACCATATTTTGAGACTTTTGTGTTCTCCTAAAGAAAGGACCACCAAATTCTAACCATTGGATGATAATGTCGCAAACCAATTAGTCGGCTCAATTATTTATCGGTTGGCACAAGCTTTCAAGAAACTTCCATGATATTTATTCAACTGTCACTATTTATTTTGACAAGTATGTTTTTGGAAGGTATTTTGACAAGTTACCCTAACAGGACATTTTTTTACCCAGTGAAGGGTTCCAGGCCCATGTTGCATACTCAATAGCACAAAATTCTTAGCAGAAAAAACAGTTGCAGACATTTACAACTTTTTGTGGACCATTAAGCCATTAAATATAACAGCCAATAAATATAACAGTTATTGTGCGGGGAATAGCATATTACCTCGTTAGTGGGGGTGGGAGAGCGTCCAGATTGTCGGTGTAGGTTTCAGACATTGGGCTACGATCATCCAAGGAGAACTCCATGAAAGACAAACCATTGCCTTGGGTGACCCCTTCTGCATATAGTATGTCTCGATCCGAAGGTTCATATTCATTGCTTGATACCTCAACAGCCTGAAAGGAGATAAAAATAGCTGTCTAACATTATAGACAAAAATATTTTGCCATAGACCAGTTCGGACTGGAAAATTTGGAAGACAAAAATGAAACGAAAGAACATCCGGATAACAATCAAAGACAAATATATATAAATTCATAGGGAATGCCATGCTGATTCAACATGACATATATGGTCAGCATGTTGGGATCTGATTGAGACATTACCTAGCTGCAAGGGCAATTAACTGGTGCTGGTCTCGCAAAACTCAGGACTCCAGGGAGTATCCTAAAACCACCATTTTAAGGACAATAGTCTGACCTTTTACAATAATTAAGATCAACAGTATACATTCAAAAACAAAATATCTTCAGATTCATGAAAAACAGATCTTCTCATTTCAACTACAAATTCATGTCTTAGCTGAGAACGAAGCAGGTCTAATGCATGGATCAATAAAAAATACAATTCACCTATGGCATATGAGGTTGAATAAGAAGAAAAATTACATACAATCGCATTGAAGATGCTGATTAGCTAGCCAAATTATTGGTATAAGCATAGGCGTAGGCATTCATTCCTATGCAATTCGTAAGGACCACACAATGTCAAGGCTGTTCAGGGACATATACAAAGGAAAATATTGAAAACAGTGACTTTACCTTCCACTTGATTTACGTCACAGCGATAGTCCTCAGAAATATATTAGAACTAGGTCCACAAAAAAGATTCCCTAGGTCATATAACTACACCATGTAAGATAAGCATTCTGTCATCCAAAACATATACATCCGAGACATGCAGCCCAACTGTTGCATTGCATAGCATAGACCTATGCAGGATGATGAGAACTTAATTAGACAAAAAGTAATTGCTGATTGAAATGGTTTCCACTGATTTAAATAACCAGATGGAACTAAAAATAAAATTAAGATTGTAGCAGAAATGAGAGTTATTTCAGCAAGAACCCTTAATGCCCTATACAATGTATTGATAATTGCAAAGAGAACAAGAAGCACACACATATACTGAAACAAAAATAGTCTGCATAAGCTAATCAATGCTGAAGCTAGTGAGATACCCGGCTTAAGAAGTACTCCGCCACTTCTGGAAGGAAGTGAAGCTCATCTTTTCTCTTATATGTTTCCTGTATGGCAGGATCCCTCCACACCTCTTCAACTAGTGGAGCATACTCACGCGTTGCTGCAGGGAAGAATGCATCTAAATCTCCAGTGGCTATAATGTCTAGCAGCCAATCAGAAAAACTTTTCAACCTTGGGTTGATGGAATAGACACACTGGTTACTTTTGTCTGAGTCGAACTCTTCACCTGAAATGAAACTTTATTATATTATTCGAACAACTATAATCAGCAATTTTTTTTGCCATTCTAATTTCCCAAATAAATCCAACCAATATTTCCCCACTCCTGCAATAGTAATTTCCAATTAAAACCCGTCATTCTGACAAAACTTGATAGTTGGGTTTAGTTTTGTCATTCTGATTTTCAATGAACATCAGTCAATCACAAGGGAACTTTATTTCTGGGTGATTGCTAGCCTAGGAAGCACGGATACGGATATGGGATATAGGTATGACAAGATACGGATATGACGATACACCAAAATCTCAAAAAGTATGATACGGGTACGGTTAGAATACGTCCATATATATAAATATATATGTATTGTGTGTATATATTATAATGTTATTACAACATTAGAGATATGAGGGATTAAGAAATAAAACATATCTAAACTACAATAATTTATTTTATACTTAGCATTTAATTGCAATAGACTTCATTATCTTTAACATAAGCCATACAAACTCATTATCCAAGTCAACCAAATTGTTAAAAATTGACAAATCTTGTGATATATGTAATGCATGAACAAATGAACATCTTGAAATGAGAAATCCTCATTTGTATGATCCACGGTTTCTAAGCAACCCACCTCAATAATTATAAGGTGAATGTATTCACCGTGGAGATACGCATATATGAGGTGTATCCGATAAATATCTAACAATGATAAGTATTTTATTAATTATTCAATACGTACGAAAAATATCCTATACATATTCGCAAGTATCCGACAAGTATCGATATCCGATACGTATTGCATATAGATACATCACTCCGATTGAAGTATTCCTTGCTTCATTGTCGTACCATAAAGACAAACTGATAAGACTTTTCCCAGGTGTCTTTGGCTTTTGTAAGTTGGGGACTACAATGGAGTAGACTCAAGGATTCAAACACCGACACGGCGACACCAGGGTACGAACATCATGTTCTGATAAAGGAAATAAAGATATAAATGACAAAAATCCGATACTTTTAAGGGTATGGCATGAATCACAAATAAGTTCTACCAAGTATTGCCAAAAAAAGGAAGTTTTGCAAATTCAACGAAAGTTTTGTTTTCTATAAATAAATAAAAAACACGATCCCCATCATAGTGTCAAGCATTTATTACCTATAACAAAAAAAAAAAAAAAAACGCATTTGTTACCAAGTTTCCTCCTCTGTTTTTGGTAACAAAAAAAAAAAAAGTAGGACCAAATTGATAGTTGGTAGCATGCAAACACAATTTTACCAGCAAAGGCATATGGATATCCTAAGGACACACAATCCTCAGGAATTTGAATGGCTAAAGGCTTTTAGCAGAAGTTACCACACTCCCATGATGATTTTTCCTTTCCTTTTATTTCCTTCCCTAAAGAAGGAGAAAGAACAAATATATGTATCCATATATATAAGTTAAATTAGCATGGTTCTGTATCTACTTGAAATGCAACAGATGCAGATCCACATGGACAACGAAAGAGGTTAAAACTATTTCTGCCTAGAGTTCAAAAACATGATGTCACTAAGATTTTGAAAGATACCTATTATGGAAAATATTATATCGTACAAACCTGTCTAAGAGATAATATAAAAATAAACACGTTTTTATAAAATCCAGCGCACCCTCGAATGGGAAGGCAAAAAAGGAGAGTTAGACAAACTCCATGCACATGATTTATATTGTTGACATTTCCTATGATGGAGGATGCATAATCAAACTTCGACATAATGTTTAAGTAGTCAAATTACACATGTGCACCCTTTTGAACTCATTATCCCCATGTCAATTACTAAAGCAAGATAGCCAACCTGGTGACCATTTCGTTTAGTTGTGGATCAATCTCACAACAAATCTCTGCAGTCTAAACCTTAATTTTAATTGACAAGACACTCCACACACTCATCTTTTTTCTCCATACACCTTAGATTCTAGTTTCTCAAACAACACTCATTACTTCGTACTTCCAAAAAACTCAAGTATTTTATCTGACTGAAAATGGAAAGCACTTTATGCCAGTTCATATAAGCCTTCAGTCAATGACACATAAATAAGGATAGAAAATAAATAATAAGGAATATATGAAGGGAAGAACAGGAAGGTGGAGGGAGGGGAGACGATAGAGAGAAAGAGAACAAAGAACCGTAGAATAGTAAAGTAATAACTCAATAAAAAGAAAGACCACAAAAGGCCTAGCACCTCAACTTCTTCGGCCTAGACAATTCTCTCTCATCCTCTCCTCATTTGGTGTCATATTACTTCTAGTATTTCTTATTTTGTACTCAATTTCTTTACTACTCCATTCCTTGCTATTTACTAAAAGGTTCCATAACACTCATACATAAATATAAAGAGGGAGGGGACAGGAACTCCCATGATCCTCAGTAACTCTTTCAAAACTCATACATTGTCGATCTAATAGTTCGATTCAATGTCCCTCCAAAGCTTGTTACGCAGACCAAAACTAACTCCCAGCAGAGATTAGAAGCTTCCCAATCCCCATCATGTCCTACACCTAATATTACCATAATCAATCACCTATTTATTTCTAATTTGAGATAATATTCATTTCTATCCCTTCATAAGTTAAATTCTTGTATAGTCTGTAGATGACAAGGTGTTTGATCGTAAATAAATTAATTAGCAGTTGATCCACATTATGGAGTGATTTACAAACATGGGATGGTTATTAACCCTTTTTCCAATGTATCTGGGTATGTAAAGCATGGTGGGATGTGGTAGGTCATATTTGGTAAGAGAGCACGTCTCCCACTCGAATAATTTGGACCACTAGGGTTGGCTTATATTTGGGGGATCACTCCACCCTTTGCTAGTTAATTTTGGGTTGGATGCTCTAATACGGTATCAGAATTAGGCACTGGGTGGTCAGTGGATCAAGTATCTTATCCATTTAAATTTTCTGCAATCCCACGTAAGGGAGGGTGTTAAGAGAGCTTGTTCCCACATTGAATAACAATACTTTACAGACTAACTTCCCCTCAAGTGTTGCTCACTTTATTTAGCTAAGGAAAAAATAATGTGATTGAGTGTAATTCATTTGTAAATGTTACTATCACTTGCCAAAACCAGTGGCAAGAATTCCACGTTGCATAGTTCTAATAGTAATTGGTCTTGTCACCTATCTACCAATTGGTGCATAGCAAATAGTCTTAGAGTTGCCCTAATAACTACTTTATCTACCACCAAAAACAAAAAGTAAAAACAGAAATAATCTGCAAATCAGCTCTATTTGATTAAGGAATCTGCGGATGAACTTAACACCAAAAACTAGTGAGGGAATCCTCTAAAAGTCTTTGTTTAGATAATTAAAAGGAAGGTTTTAACTTTTCCCCATGGATTTTCAACTAGGCATTCCAGTACCCTAGAAAAAACAGACAAAATCCTTACTAACAGGTGCTACTTCAAAAACTTAAACAAACAATTCAACATAGTATGTGCTTTTGAGCATTTCTCAATGGATAAAGCCACCTCTCTATATCTCATGAGATGGCTTGCATTGGACTCCTACGATTCTTTTGTGTCTTATTTTCTTTTTCATGTGTTCGAAAATAAGTACCTTGGTTAAGGTTTCGAATGACAATGGAATCTTTTTCGTACAACATTCTTTATTAATTATTTCTTGAACCACTAGATTTCAAAGTATCACTTGTTCTAAAAACAAACATGAAGGCATAAACTTTTTGAGGTACTATATGCTGGACTAAATATATCCTTCAAGGGCGGAGGGTTGTCTAGGCTCTCCGCCAGTCTTCCAGACTCGAAAGATTTATAGTAAGTAAAACATGACATAAATTAGGCTTCATTAAGAAGTAACTTATACAAAGAAATTTGTTCCAAAGAATAAATTTTTACATCTTAGATTCTAAAATATTTAGATTTTATTGAAGCACATAAATGCTTATATTACTTCTCTCTATAACTAAATTCAAGCTTTTAAGATAGTACATGATTTTACATTATATCAAAGATTAAGATTTGCAGGCTCACATGTCAAGTCCTGTCAGTTTGATTTGTTCTGTCCGTCTGTCCAAGTGCGAGACAGGTTTCCAAGTGAAAGAGTTTGTGAAAGACTGTCTCACATGCTTTAGTTAGCGGGTTCAAAATTTGAATGCTGACCTGAGCCACTCCACTCATTGCTATGTAGTTTTTGGTTGGGTAGGTTAGAATAGATGTTCTACATTCGAATCTCAGTCCATCCCAATAAGCATAATAACCACACTTGCTTATCACAAGTATGGCCAGGATGTGTTTTAAGTACATAANACTCCACTCATTGCTATGTAGTTTTTGGTTGGGTAGGTTAGAATAGATGTTCTACATTCGAATCTCAGTCCATCCCAATAAGTATAATAACCACACTTGCTTATCACAAGTATGGCCAGGATGTGTTTTAAGTACATAAATAGATTTTAGACACATATTTTTGCCAACCTCAGACACCTTGAGTAAAAAATAAAAATTCTTCACCAAAATTCTTATAACAGTAAAACACATACATCTGTCCCAACTATTATTTCCATTTGTTATGACCTAAAATGAAACTGACTTAAAATTCTAATAGCAACTAACATAACAGATGAACACCACACCCACAGTTTTACCACTCAAACGGANAATAAAAATTCTTCACCAAAATTCTTATAACAGTAAAACACATACATCTGTCCCAACTATTATTTCCATTTATTATGACCTAAAATGAAACTGACTTAAAATTCTTATAGCAACTAACATAACAGATGAACACCACACCCACAGTTTTACCACTCAAACGGAAACTCCTTTTAGACATGCTACCTTCTAAGACTTGGTATATAGTGGGCCAAATTAATCTAAATGCTCCACAAAAAAATTTCTGGAGAATAATACATGACAAAAATAAATACCTACAAGAACGTTGCTCTTTGAGGAGATACATCCACAAACAGTTGAGCTAGTTACAAACTTTAGCTTCTTTTGTAACAACCAACTTCATAGAGATGCCCAACNATATGCTCCACAAAATATTTCTGGAGAATAATACATGACAAAAATAAATACCTACAAGAACGTTGCTCTTTGAGGAGATACATCCACAAACAGTTGAGCTAGTTACAAACTTTAGCTTCTTTTGTAACAACCAACTTCATAGAGATGCCCAACAAGCACACATGCTAATCAGCAATAGATGTAAAATCATAAACTGAATTAAAAAAAACGTCGGCGACCCTCAAATTATATCTCTCCCAGGGCATGCATTCTCAGCCCCAGCATTAGATTAGAAAAGATTAAATATCAGGACCTGATCTTGTTACACAACCTTCATGAGGGATAGTCGGCTGTAAAGATTAGCCATTCGTTAAGTATAATTAAAAAGAGTACAAAAAATTCTACTTCAAGAAGCCCAAAGCACTATGTTTAGTAGAAAACTTTGATTCGGGAGCCCAATAGACATATATAATAGTACCTGCTTGAGAAATTTGCTCATGTGAACCTTGTAATTTAATCCTTGACATGACCTCTTCCTCAAAACGCTCCCGCCCATCAAGTAGAATGCTGAGGTACTTGTACATGTTGCTTTGGATCATAAGCTTAATATCCTGACGTTCATTGGCAGTAAACTTGTTGCCATACAAAAATTTGGCCTGCTCCATTATACATCAGGAACAGAATGAAATGAGTATGAACTAACAAAACATATGTACAAGGCGAACATAGCTTTAGGATGGAACCATCCTTCAAAAATCTGTATCAAATGGAAGGCAGAAAAGAAATGAAAAACATACTCCGAAGATAAGTTTCATTCACCCACAAAAATGGAATTTGGGAGAAGAAGAGTGAAAGGGGTGGGCAGGAGGCATTTTCAAACCTCAGCAAATAAAGTTATACAAATTTGCCATCTTTCATGCCCATCCAGATACATGCATGTGAACCAAAATACATCGCCGACATAACTAAAGCAAGAATGCTTTGCTCACATTGAAATTTTGATGAAAGGAAAAAAATGCACTTTACCAGCAACTAGAAAAAGATCTACATTTAAACCTTGATGAACAATATTTCTGCAAATTCGTTAGTGTTTAGGGTTAAAAGGTAGCAGACAAGGCTTTGTAAAATCTAACTAGAGCTGACTTAAGAAACGTCGTTTATAACACACACAGTCCAGCAGTATAAATATGAAATTATTGTGGAATATATAAGTTCAATTGACTAAGATCTTGAACAAGATATATACTGATTTGCTGACATTTCACCCACCATGAGATTACAGTAATAGTTCACCCAAAAATGACATTATGAAAAAGCTAAGTCCCTAGATATTATATCCCACACTAACAAAATGTCGGACTATGTTTATATTTCTCATTCGAGCAACATCTTAAAATACCAAGAGCAAATTGTTGAATTGAACATCAGACGGATGACATTTTGTTGATCTACGGAATCGACTCCTATAATAATTTCGATCAATTAAAGTTTCTAATGATAATTGATAACCTACGGAAAAGATCCATAACATTTTACTCATGCTCAATTAATTGGGAAAGTAAGTCTTCATTTAGTTTGACTAGACAATCTCCTGCAGGACACTAACCAATCAAGGACAAAATGAAATTCTTGTGAACATCATATTTAGGAACATCCTAACAAATTAAGTGCAACCAGTGTCACTAATCAAACACATAAAGATCTCGATGTTCAGAGTCATCCTAGTAACCATCTATGATTTCTAACCATAGTACTGAAGCAATGGAAAAGCAACAACCCAGATGTTGCCTCGATGCTGCACGCATTTTTTGATTTCACCAGTTCCTATTCGGTACACTATACATATATATACACTTCCAATTACATGGTATCCAATCACCAGCAATGATTTCTTAAGGACTCCAAGAGAAATTCCGGCTGCAAATTTGTTCCAAACAAACAGGTCTCTTGACCAATGTATACTATAACCCCCTCAACATCGATTGCAAGATTTAGAGAGCATTATTTTTCAAAAACATAGAAAGAAATACCTGCTTGAATATAGTACTGGTTCCAGAGCTGTGAAGTCCAAGTAGAAGAAGTTTCTGATTTTTTTTCTGATCCATATAATTTGGAACCGTAGTATAATTGCTAGCTTCATCCCTTTGCCCATGAGACTGACCTTGGAGCACAGGCAAGGAGAACAAGGTGCAGACAAACCTTGTTGATGCCTTTATAACAAAAAAAACCTTAATTTTTTTACAAAAGATCCCCAAACTCTATTATAATAATTGCATGCATCGAATGTGGCATTTTGGACATACCTTTTCCCAAATATTTCCCCTGATATTATTTTGGCCTTCCTCCTCATAACGACCATCATCATACACCCAAAAATGAGTGTCACGAGGACACTGCACTTTTGCCAACTGAACATAGTGAAGCTAGGTCAGATTAGACTTTCAAATGGACAACAAATCAAAGCAAGTAAATATAGAGGCATAATCTAGTAAAGGGAATAAAATTTGGTAGTATAAATCAATTGTTGGAAATGAAAGAACCAGCTATCAACCTGGTTAAAGTCTAGGTTATGTGTGTCGCATCTGGGGTGGGGGAGGAGAAACAACAAGTTTATACTCTGATTGCTAAACTCAAAATCAAAAACAACTGCGTATTAGAAAGCGAGCTTTTTGTGTAACACGTTGAAGGGAATTTTTGCCATTTCATATAAGTTTCCGTATTGATATAACAGTGTGAGAGAATCCTAATTACTCTCTCTCTCTCTCATCCATATGCTGTTTCTCTCTCTCATCCATATGCTGTTTCTCTTTCCTTCTCTTCTCTTCTTTTTTCTTTCTTCAGTTGGTTGTTTACACTTAAATCAACCCTGCATACATGAACTGCCTAGTTATTCATTGAAGAAGAAGAAGAAGAAGAAGAGAGGCCGAAATTTCACAACTAAAATTTCTTATTTGGGATGGTGATGCGCATTACGGAGCAGCTAACAGATGTAGAAAACAAAACAACTGAACTGCTTAAAAAACAGCAAAAATAGATTTAATAAGCTCATAGCCATAATGTAAAGGCTCAATGAAATGTCAGCATCTCAGAATCTTTTTTAATAATATCTGAGAAATTCAAATTTGCAACGACTTACTAAGGGACTTCTACATTTGGGGAACCTATAAAGGGGCAGTTCAAAACAAGGTATCGGGGGCCTTGATTCTGCAAGTCATGCAATAAGATACATAGGAAGAAGTATTAATAAGAAGCACATCAATTTTAGTCCTAAAGTAAAGATTTGACCTTTAGCACTCTCAATTCAAGTTTTGTAATTTCCCGGCCATTGATGTAAACCTCAGTGTTCCCATTGCTTGCATGAGGACTCAGTTTCCCAGTAAAACTCAAGTTTGAACTAATAATTCTATCTGGTTTTTCTCCCTCCTGTCAGTTCAACAAGCAGGAATTGTATTACCACCTCTTTCTCTACAAAAAAAAAAAAATGAAGACAAAAACAAAGTTCAAGAGAGTCTGCCGAAGATATCAAATGGGCAATGGAGTTACCTTTCCCCAAAAACCAGATTCCTTGTCATACCAATATCTACCAGGCTTCAACTTCCGAGGGGGTAATGGGCACCCAAGAAGTTCACCCATCTCTTCTGGTTTCAGCGGACAGCCATTGACAATCAGCTGCTCTGGCCGAAGCTGATTAGCAGAGCATTCTTTCTCTGCTTTCATAATTTGCTTGACTTCCAAAGGGCTAAGCAACCGTGATAACACCCTTGAATTTTTACCCAGTTTGAAGCGCTTTGACTCATCAATTGGCTCCCCTATACAAGTTACACATTTACGCCCCTCTGGCATTGATCCCATTGCCCTAAGCACACAATTGCTGCAATACTTTGCATCACACACATTGCAGGACTCCTTAGTTTCCCACTTCCCTTTTCCACACCTATAACAAACTCTGCTTTTCTTCTTCTTCTTCTTCTTTTCCCTGGAAACACCAACATATTCTGTATAAACAGACTTCTCCACATCTACCTCTTTCCTTTCGGATCTATCAACAGTATTGAAAGTAACCACCGGGACTCTCCTTCCTTCATTTACTGGTTGCTTCGGGCCATTATTCGAACGATTACGGACAGAACCTGGAGATGCTGAAGGGGAAGGCGAAGAAAAATCTAGGTTCTGCAAGACAGACACTACAGACTCTGAACTTCCTGATACCCTCGGACTTTGGGTAGGCGGACTTGTGACACTAGCAATTCGAGACACTGGCAAAGGGATTGGTTCAATAACAGGGAGAGCATCACGAGTTACCAATCTTCTTGATTCCGAAAGTGGTTCAGCTATAGATGCAGTGGGAATTGCACCCGTATTCACGTCAAGGGGCTCTACTCTAGGAAGCTCATAATTCACTGGGGGACCCTCATATTCCAGAGCTATAGAATAATCAAGATTACCCCCTTCTTCTGGAAGGGCCACCCCCGGAGGAAGCATTTTCATCACCACCTCCCTCCATTCCTCTTTCGCACTTTTCTCCATCTCTCACACACAGAAGAACCAATTTCTCCAAAGAATCTTAAGTACCCCAAATTCCACAGAAACCTACCAACTTATTCTTTTTTTGTTTTCCTAATGAATATCTAAGTTTTGAATAAAACCTAATTTCAAAACTTTCTGTCCACAGAAACCAACAAAAAAGCTTGTGATATCATAGTAACTGGCCAGATGGGTAGTTCCACAACTTTGAAAACCAAACCACCAGTTAATCAACAGATGGTGAAAATCTAGCAGCAATACCACAAGACCAAATACAAATCAACCAAAATTAAGTTGAAATTTAAAAACTCCAACGGCATTCACCAAATTCAGATACGAATAAACCAAGAAAAGTCATCGCCAACAGCAGCCAGCCACCCAGCCACAATCCTATTGTCGCCTTCCCAGAGCCTTCAAATTTCAAAAAGAAAAAAAAAAAAATTTCAAATACTAATCAGAGATTGAAACCTCGAAAAATTCAACAGTCCAAGCACAACTTTTTTAAGCAACGTAAAACCAAAAAAAAAACACCCACCCTCTTGCCTATAAACACAAAGCTTCATATAATTTAAGTTTCAAAAGCAAAGATGTTAGCTTGAAAAAGAAATCTCCACTTCTGGAAGTTGAAAGTTTCAGAGTCCAACAAATAATAAACAAATCAAACCCTCCTCAAAAACTAAGAATTTTTCAACCCATACGAACATATCTATAGATATATCTAAAGGACATGTAAATGTATATCGTATAAAGACTCAAGATCAAGATGTGTGTATGAAAAGTTCAAAAAGAAGTAAGATAAAAAAAAAAAAAAANTTTGAAAACCAAACCACCAGTTAATCAACAGATGGTGAAAATCTAGCAGCAATACCACAAGACCAAATACAAATCAACCAAAATTAAGTTGAAATTTAAAAACTCCAACGGCATTCACCAAATTCAGATACGAATAAACCAAGAAAAGTCATCGCCAACAGCAGCCAGCCACCCAGCCACAATCCTATTGTCGCCTTCCCAGAGCCTTCAAATTTCAAAAAGAAAAAAAAAAAAATTTCAAATACTAATCAGAGATTGAAACCTCGAAAAATTCAAAAGTCCAAGCACAACTTTTTTAAGCAACGTAAAACCAAAAAAAAAACACCCACCCTCTTGCCTATAAACACAAATCTTCATATAATTTAAGTTTCAAAAGCAAAGATGTTAGCTTGAAAAAGAAATCTCCACTTCTGGAAGTTGAAAGTTTCAGAGTCCAACAAATAATAAACAAATCAAACCCTCCTCAAAAACTAAGAATTTTTCAACCCATACGAACATATCTATAGATATATCTAAAGGACATGTAAATGTATATCGTATAAAGACTCAAGATCAAGATGTGTGTATGAAAAGTTCAAAAAGAAGTAAGATAAAAAAAAAAAAAAATTTACTTTTGAGTACAAGACTAGGACTTTTTCGATAAAGAAGAGAGACAAAGTTAAACACAAAGAGGGGGATAGAAATGTACCTGAGAAAGGACGAGTTGAGAACGTGACTGTGAGGAGGTTAGACTTAGAATTCTACTTTAAGCTTGGAAGCTCTGAAAAAATCAAATTGGTAAGTTAAGTCAAGCTTTTTACATATTCTCCATGGAAGAAAGATCGTCACAAAGATACATATGCAAAGCTAGAGAGAGAGAGAGAGAGAGAGATGCTGAGATGGGGTCCATGAGTGTGCACGGTAGGAACTGTGTAATGTGCTGTAAGAAGTGGGGTGATAATGAGANAGCTTTTTACATATTCTCCATGGAAGAAAGATCGTCACAAAGATACATATGCAAAACTAGAGAGAGAGAGAGAGAGATGCTGAGATGGGGTCCATGAGTGTGCACGGTAGGAACTGTGTAATGTGCTGTAAGAAGTGGGGTGATAATGAGAGACTGCTGAGATTGATATATCGGTGGTGGTGACCGTGAAGGCCACGCGGCGGAGATTTTTCTAAATGGGATACTGTAGTTTTCACGCGCTTTAGATGAGAGTGGATTGTATTGTTACGTAGGGGGTATTAATNGGACCGTGAAGGGCACGCGGCGGAGATTTTTCTAAATGGGATACTGTAGATTTCACGCGCTTTAGATGAGAGTGGATTGTATTGTTACGTAGGGGGTATTAATTAAATATTTTGTTAGGATAGAATAAATATAATTAAATATTAAATATAATTAAATATTTTGTTTATTTTGANGTGACCGTGAAGGCCACGCGGCGGAGATTTTTCTAAATGGGATACTGTAGTTTTCACGCGCTTTAGATGAGAGTGGATTGTATTGTTACGTAGGGGGTATTAATTAAATATTTTGTTAGGATAGAATAAATATAATTAAATATTAAATATAATTAAATATTTTGTTTATTTTGAGTTAAATTACAAAATTTATTTCACCTATCAAGGATTCAACATAAATGCAATACCCATTAATATTATTATAAATTATTTAATTTCTTATATTAATTAATTATATTATTTACATACTTATATTATTATATTCATATCGTATTAATATTAGTGGATAAAATTAACACTCTTTTAAAATTAAATAATTTTATTAACACAAATACGACACTAGTTAAAATAAGACAATTCAAAAACAGCGCGACTCATAATCACAGGTCCGATACGATAGGAATTAGCACCCATGTTATAAAGTATNTGACACTCTTTTAAAATTAAATAATTTTATTAACACAAATACGACACGAGTTAAAATAAGACAATTCAAAAACAGCACGACTCATAATCACAGGTCCGATACGATAGGAATTAGCACCCATGTTATAAAGTATATAATTCAAATTGTGCTCGTGTGGGATTTTTTTATTTAATTATACATGACGAATAACACGCTTTGATCTAAATGAGAAATGAATAAATTAATTTAATTAATTAAAATTTATAAAAAAAAGTCACGAAATTAATCAATTACAATCATAATCGTGTAGGTCAACCTTTATTAGGGGGATACAATATTACCTTTCTTATTCAATGAATCTAGTGCGGCATTAAAGGGCANGCGGGGTTTCTACTTTATAGCATTTTACTTTCATTTTTCTTAAATTTCTCTCATGGTGTTCATAATTTTAGCATAGAAAAGCTTTCCCTTTTTGTTATCGATTAGTAAAACCTTTAAGCGAAATTAGCAAAGAAAAAGAAGTTTAGTTTTACAAANTCGCACGCTTTGATCTAAATGAGAGATGAATAAATTAATTTAATTAATTAAAATTTATAAAAAAAAAGTCACGAAATTAATCAATTACGATCATGATCGTGTAGGTCAATCTTTATTAGGGGGGATACAATATTACCTTTCTTATTCAATGAATCTAGTGCGGCATTAAAGGGCATTCATTTATTGCTTTGACCATTATAAGTATTATATAGTCTCTAGTTAATGATTTTTAGAATTTTTGAACAAACACTACTTATAGGGAACAATGAAGCTTATTAATGTATATTGAAATTAAAAAAAAGATTAAAATTGTTGACATAAAATGGGAAAAAATCGACCAATTGAAATTTTTCATAAATAATTAAAATAGGAGACCCGATTTGGAATCCCACTTTCATATGGATTTCAACTTAATTCTCTCTGACACAGATAAAAAAATTATATCTGTAACAATTAAAAAAAATTTAAGATAAAATCACATCAAATCCGATCTTAAATAGAGTAAGTAAGTTCTAAGTATTTTATATTCATTTGCTAATAACATACATCGGTTAAATATTAAAGTTATTAAGATTTAAACTCAATAAGTCGGTGTTAATTGCACGTTTCTTAATTATGCTGTGCAAATTATAAGAATTTTATTAAACCATCACTCTANACAACTCAAACCAGATTACGATAATACATTTGACATTATTGTTTCTCTTTCTTATTTGTCCCAATGGCAAAGGCATAAAACAGCATATTCCATATAGGTTTTTTTTGCTGGGTCCATATAGTTTGATATGAATTGATGCAAACTTGGAATGAAAAAGGACAAAATTTCATTCCTTAATCAAATTATTACACTTTGAAGATGGGGAATCTTATCTTTATTTTACTTTTTAGGCAAATATCCTATGAAAATTGTACTTAGCTCCAAATGAGTTTGTTGAAAATTTTGTTCAAGCTGCGTATAAGTTAGTCTGATACTATTGATCGTTGAATCAAAAAAAAATCTTTGTTCAAAACTGACTTGTGTGGCAAATGAGTCAAGTATGAATATATTTTGCTAATTTTTTTTATCTTAGTTTATTAATTGACATTCATAATACACTAAAACATTACATCTACTTTACAAAAGCTCGTTTGATAAGGACTTTAAGAAAATAAACTAAACTTGAACTCTATGTAAATTTTGTTTAAATTCAAATCAAGCTTAAGCAAACTACTATTCAATACAATTCAATTCATATATGTATTTTATTGTAAAAGAATGAACAAATTTTCAAAAAGCATTTAATGTTTTAGTGTTTGTCGGAAAATTTTCAAGAAAAAAAAAGGCACACATCAAAATTTCCGTTGTTATTTGGTGTATCCAGATTTCTTCTAATACACTTTAACTTGCTTTTTTTTTAATGTTTGATCACTAAGTGTGTGTATCGATGAAGATTTAATTCTATAGTCGGTTTTAATTAAATCGTGATGGGTAATATACTCTTGAGAAAAAATATATAGGAGCGATTCAAACTTTAGTTGGTTGTTTATTCAAATTGACCCCGATTTTATTGATTCATGGCTAGCATTGCAAAGCAACTCGATTTTCAATTTAGTTTTCCTTCGACACTAGTCACCCCCAATTTAGTTACATCCTTAGGGCAACATCGTTTCAAAAGCACTCATGTGTTTTAAGTTTGGTGCATGTGATTAGTAAATAAGTGTATTTAGATTTTAAGTTATTATTTCAACTATAGGAAGGAGTTGGTGAGGTTTGAATCCGTAATCCGACCGTTCAACAACGGGTTATGTTGGCCATTAGGCCAACCTCTGATCTTCAACATCATTAGGTTAAATATGAGCATAAGTTATGAAACTACAAAGTGTTTTCACTAGTTAGGGAATATCCAAGTCTCTTAGACCATCTGTCTAATTTTTAAAAAAACAGATAATCCAATCTTACATATACCAACATCAAAATAAATAAACACTATTTTATTAATAATAATATTTATTTGAACCAATTTTATCACAATCATTGAACAAGTAACATATCCCAAAAAATATCGTCAATCAATAATAGTTGTTAATAAATGAAGTCAAAACATGTTACTCTAATATTAATTGCCACATGTTGAGACCAAACTAAACATAGTTAGGGGTTTAATTCATCTCGTCCGGTCATTTTAAATTGTGTCAATTTTAAATCGTATTAATTTTGATTTATATAGTGATTGTTTTAATAAAAAATTATTTAATTCTAAAACAAAGATACTATGTAAAGAAATTTAAAAAATCATAAGATATATATTTTTCTGTGAACAATATCAATTAATTTAGATATAATATTAATTTGACCTATTTATTATACATACTTATCAAACTTGTTATTTTTAATTCTCTATTGTATCGATTTTGTGTCGGGTTGGTATTAATGAGTAACACCCGAAATATAGCCCACGGAGGGGTCTCCTCACCCATAGGTTTGCAATATGATTGGTTATGGAGCTTGTTGGCCGTATCTTGTTTGGACAACTTTCGAAAAACGTTATCCTATCCAGTATCTACATGTCCATAACCTTATACTCTTTCTATGGCAGAAATAGTCATCTTTCTAAACTCACGGATTGCATTCAATTCCCATAAAAAAATAGTCCCATTTTCAGGGTCAAAACTTCAGAAAGTTCAATCAAACCATCTCTCTGTAAAAAATTTATCCCACTGGATAAAATTCCAGAGTTAGAAAATCCAACTTCAAAGTTTAGATACCTGACTCATCTACAAGCTTCGTTGTTGAAGTTTTTTTTTACTTTCTTTCTGTTCTTTATTCATCATCTGCTTGATGGGTAGCATTACATCAAATTGATAGAATATATATTGCAAGCATGATGATTTTTTTACTGTGACGGTCACGGGTTTGCGAAAATAGTTTCTCTACTTGTAGGGGAAGGGTGCTTACATCGAACCCTCCTCACAACCAGTAATGACGATTTTCTTGTTGGTCTGTGTTTTACTTGAACAATGCTAAGTTTGAAAGATTCCTAGATTGCCACAGAAAGGTGTAGATGACAGGATGGTTAGGGCATCAGTTCTTCAACAAACACATTTGTTAATACCACGTGAGGATCACCCACAAAACCCAGAATTGAACTTCAGGTTGAGGGAGCAAGAATGTGTCTCCTCAATAAAGAAATGCAAGAACATGGAAGAATTCAAGCAAGTCCATGGCCAAATACTGAAGTTGGGCTTTTTTCGGAGTAGTTCTTTCTGCACAAGCAATCTTGTTGCCACTTGTGCTCTTGCAGATTGGGGCAGCATGGATTATGCATGCTCGATTTTTCGACAAATTGATGATCCGGGTTCATTCGAATTCAACACCATGATTAGAGGACAAGTGAAGGATATGAACCTAGAAGAAGCTCTATTTATGTATGTTGAAATGCTTGAAAGAAGGGTTGTACCTGACAACTTCACTTATCCGAGTGTTCTAAAGGCGTGTGCGCATTTAAAGGCGCTAGAGGAAGGAATGCAGATTCATGGACTTATATTCAGGCTAGGACTTGAAGATGATGTGTTTGTGCAGAACAGTTTGATCAATATGTATGGAAAGTTTGGAAAGATAAGGGACTCTAGTGCTATTTTTGAGAGGATGGAACAAAGGACTGTTGCTTCTTGGAGTGCCCTTATTGCAGCTCATGCCAACTTGGGCATGTGGTATGAGTGCCTTAGGCTTTTTGTTGACATGAATAGTGAAGGATTTTGGAGGGCTGAGGAGAGTATACTTGTTAGTGTCCTCTCTGCATGCACCCATTTGGGTGCCTTTCGTTTAGGGAGGTCCACACATGGGTACTTATTAAGGAACTTGAGTGCCCTTAATTTTATAGTGGAGACAGCCTTAATAGACATGTATCTAAAATGTGGGTGCCTAAAGAAAGGGTTTTGTCTCTTCCAAAGAATGGCCAAGAAGAACCAAATGTCCTACAGTGTAATGATCTCAGGGCTTGCTGTTCATGGATGCAATCAGGAAGCTCTAAAGGTCTTCTCAGAGATGCTCAAAGAAGGGTTGAAACCTGATGATGCTGTTTATGTGGGTGTGCTGGGCTCCTGCAGTCATGCTGGCCTAGTTGAGGAAGGTCTCCGGTTTTTCGAGCAGATGAAATCCGAACATGGGATAGAACCAACAATCCAACATTACGGATGTATGGTAGATCTCATGGGACGAGCTGGGTTGCTTGACAAAGCTTTTGAGCTTATCAAGAGCATGAAAATGGAGCCAAATGATGTTTTATGGCGTAGTCTTCTTAGTGCTTGCAACGTTCATTGTGATGTGGAATTAGGGGAGGTTGCAGCTAGAAACTTGTTGCAATTAAACTCACATAATGCTGGTGATTATGTGGTGTTATCAAATATGTATGCACAAGCTCAAAGGTGGCAGGATGTGGCTTTGATTCGGACAGAATTGGCTGATAAGGGACTTGCCCAACCCCCTGGATTCAGCTTGGTTGAGGTGAAGCGTAAGGTCTACAAATTTGTGTCACAAGACATGTCACACCCTCAATGCGATGGCGTCTACGACATGCTCCACCAGATGGAGTGGCAGTTGAAATTCGAAGGCTATTCCTCAGACACGTCGCAGGTTTTGCTTGACGTTGATGACGAAGAGAAGAGACAACGGTTAAGTAGCCATAGTCAGAAGTTGGCGATTGCATTTGCACTGTTGCATACATCTCATGGATCTCCTGTAAAGATAGTTAGAAATGTGAGAATGTGTAATGACTGTCACAAATACACGAAATTAATATCGATGATCTATGAACGAAAGATTACAGTTAGGGATCGGAACCTGTTTCACCATTTTAACGGTGGAACTTGCTCTTGTGGAGATTACTGGTGAATGAAAGACTTTTTATCCTATTCTTGTTCTTGGCAAAGGTCCCCTTGGCTCGACGCTTTGGGGTCAACTGGATGAATCCCGTCTCTATCCATCTATCTACACTGATCTGCTCAATCTATAGTTCTATTTCCTTCCAACCACCATTGACCTGTTTCACCATGCTGTTTACTTCACAACCATGAATGATCTTCAAATACTATGCTCATCATAAATGAAGAAGTTAGAAGNCTTGGCTCAACGCTTTGGGGTCAACTGGATGAATCCCGTCTCTATCCATCTATCTACACTGATCTGCTCCATCTATAGTTCTATTTCCTTCCAACCACCATTGACCTGTTTCACCATGCTGTTTACTCCACAACCATGAATGATCTTCAAATACTATGCTCATCATAAATGAAGAAGTTAGAAGCAGAAGCATTAGGGGCTCTGAGAGAACATCCAACTAGTGTTACACCATAAGAATTGAATAGGGAATCAAAAGTGAGTTAAAGGATTGACTTGGTAATGTACAATGTTCAACAAATTACACCATTTGTTTTCTGACTTTTTATTGTCTGGCAAAAAAACCTTTTACCTTCACAAATGAAACAGGTTTCTAAAACCTNCCAGTGTTACACCATAAGAGTTGAATAGGGAATCAAAAGAGAGTTAAAGGATTGACTTGGTAATGTACAATGTTCAACAAATTACACCATTTGTTTTCTGACTTTTATTGTCTGGCAAAAAAACCTTTTACCTTCACAAATGAAACAGGTTTCTAAAACCTAGTTTTAACCCGAGCAGATTACACATGCTAACTGAACTTAAGATAGTCATTTTAATACATCAAATATTCGTACAGATATCAGCTTATTCAATCTGAATGGAAGAAACAGCCGATGTGATCTCCCTTGTTCGTGGATCACCACTTTCTATAGAAACACCATGAGGATCTTCTCTCACTAGCAAGGCCAGAACATTGAACGAACTCCATGCTTTGGTCACATTGCTGCTTGAATCCCCCAAGGTGACAGCAAAAATTGCATCAAAGCCACCTGCCCCAGGAACCCCAGCCAACAAAACACCTTCCATATTCATAGTAGCATCCAAGAGCCGAGTTTGTGATTCAGGTTCTATCTGCAAAGGTGTGTACAGTAAAAGATATGGTCAAAGAGATTGACAGTGATGCCAAACTCTTTTCAATGTCCTTCAGCACAAATTTTGGCTATGTGAAAGCGGGCATATACATGGAATTTTAACGAAAATTCCTACTGCTAAAAATGACACCNGTACAGTAAAAGATATGGTCAAAGAGATTGACAGTGATGCCAAACTCTTTTCAATGTCCTTCAGCACAAATTTTGGCTATGTAAAGCGGGCATATACATGGAATTTTAACGAAAATTCCTACTGCTAAAAATGACACCAACAATGATGATAAAAAGGAAAAACAGACATGCACACCAGTATAAAAAGCTTGCCAAGGTGGTTGGGCATTATGAATATTTAGTTAATAGATCAACTCTCCTTAAAAAACACTGCAATTGAAACAAACTATCTCTTGGTACAATTGTTTAAAAGGATACTTCTATAATAGGTAGTTTTGAACCTCTTTAATGGATATCTTTAGCAGAAATCCATGCAGAGCTTATGAATGGATCAAAGAAAACCTCCACATTGCAGCTGGTCACAGCAGTGATGGAACTAATTTCTTAATAGAAAACAATAGAAATACTTATATTCACATGCGTATATAGAGAGAGAGAGAGAACAAGTTTCCAATCAAAGAGAAAAGAACCTACTGGGATGCCTGCTGCCTCCCCCATTTGTCGCATGTGACACCTGATCCCAAGCATGGCATCTCTTGCTCCTAACAATGCTTCAACAACTACTGCTTTGTTTGGTTTATTGGCTTGCTCCATCCACTGTCCATGTAATCAGCATGAGTTAGATTATCTCAAACATCAAGAAGAAAAATTGTCTATAGTACATGGGGAGGGAGAGAGAGAAAGATTTGTGCACATTGGATGCCATAAACGAGTTGAGATACCTATATAGGATCACAATTTTGAAATGCTATTGATTATTAATTGAAGAAGTCTTGTAGACTAGACAAGGATTATTCATTATGAAATAGATAGTGGAAAATAAAAGGGACCCGGGCCAAGCACAGAGGTGGGCCATATATTTTTCAGTCCCTTCAATACCTATGGATATTAGTTACAATTAAGTTTCCATGAAACAATGGACGGAAAAAAAATAAAAAAATGAAACAACGGACGGCATCTTCCTAAAACTTATAAAAGGAAATCCAAGATATTATCAGTTCTTGTATTTACAAAGTATCAACACTTTAATTTTCACCTTCCACTTATTGCCTAAGAACTATGTTATACAACTACCTTTTCGGACCTAAGTGTGCTGCAGCTGTTAATGACAGATCCATATGCATCCCAATGTTGTTCTGCCAATTTACTTAAAATATTGAGTTGCATTTCAAGCGCTGAATTCGCTTCTGACAACTTTCTCCATGTGTTTAGAGACTTCTCAGGATCAGATTTCTGCCACTTCTTGACAGCACCTACCATTGAGGGTGTTGACGATCCTCCAGTTCCCGGTTCTCCTAGTAACTGCAAAATACATTCGCACATCTTTTACTGAAAACAAAATAAAATATGAAAGAAAAACAAATATTACCAATAGTATGCTTTCAAAGTGGAAAAAAATCATGGGGGTGTTTAAGAGTGCTGGTCCTCTGACAGTGTTTTTTTTAGATTACATAAGTTAGTATTGTTTACTTCACAAGGGGACCTCTGCCCTAAGGCAGGCCCCACAACCTTACTTGAGGTTAATGGCAATTCACTGAAAATGCCAATTATGTCGTAGACCACATAAAGCACATCTTATTCCAAAAGGCTCAACAGTCACCCTATATTAGGCTGCCCAACCTTTGCTTAAGCCCCACCAGAAGCAAAACTCAACCAAGCTAGAGGTTTACAAATTTCAACTAATGCGAAGCATGTCCAAAATGATAGAAATTCCTGGGCAATGTATTATACTCTTGTACACAATTGATTTGGGAGCAGGGATAATTCGACCAAGCAAACTAAGGGTCAGTAGATGCAGCAACTATATTGGATGCTATGCACCTTTAGGTATTTAAGATAGAGAAAGATAGTCATTGGTGAAATGATGTTCTAATGAAGGGGAAAGAGTCAGTGAGGGATAGGATTTTCAATTTCAGTTATCAAAAAATATAGAGATGACAAGTCTCCACTAAATAGCTGGGAAATAAGCTTTAAAAGAAATGACAGAACAATTGCTTATGGTGTTATCTGTGAGGTACCATCAAAAGTTACCTTTGGTTAAGTNTGTTCTAATGAAGGGGAAAGAGTCAGTGAGGGATAGGATTTTCAATTTCAGTTATCAAAAAAATAGAGATGACAAGTCTCCACTAAATAGCTGGGAAATAAGCTTTAAAAGAAATGACAGAACAATTGCTTATGGTGTTATCTGTGAGGTACCATCAAAAGTTACCTTTGGTTAAGTAATTAGATTACAGAGGGATGTAATCAAATAGTCAAGCTCGTAAACATACAGGAATAAAAGCAGACAACGATTCTTTCTTTCTTTTTTTTATTTTTTTGGAAAGAACGCAGCCAAAATTTCTTGTACATAAATTATTTTATTCAGAAGGTGCACATAAACCATTTTAAGTATAGTAAGGTACATGTACATTTTAATATACTTACAAGATTCATCAATGGAGGTAAAGAGAACTTAGTCTGCTCATGGNTCTTTTTTTTTTTTTGGAAAGAACGCAGCCAAAATTCTCGTACATAAATTATTTTATTCAGAAGGTGCACATAAACCATTTTAAGTATAGTAAGGTACATGTACATATTAATATACTTACAAGATTCATCAATGGAGGTAAAGAGAACTTAGTCTGCTCATGGTCCCACTTGCCTTTTAGGACGTCAGCAATGATTTCTTCAAGTGGTGTGTCTTTAACTGCACCCTGCAGCTCCATAATAATAAATGATAAACAATAAGTAAAACACATTCCATTAGTCTCCGGAAGAATGTACTGACATTTGCAAGTAATATTTTGTACTGTAGATGAAACTATTCATCCATTTATTAACAAATATATTCGTTTGCATCACGCGAACAAAGAACGCCATCAGGCATTCTATCAACCCTTTCATCTGAGCTTCGTTTGAACTATTACTGATCTAATAATTAGAGGGTGGAAGCCTACAATGACCTTCATGCGTCTGCTGCGAATTGTGTTTTCTTCACTGCCATTGAGTGCACAAACAGGGATAGTACGAAGTTATTAGTTTACGCGATGATAAAAGTCAGATCGACAAAAAACAAAATGCAGATTCTGGCCAAGGTACCCACATCCTGTACAATCTGCCTGCCCCTGTTGGGATCCTGAAGCACCCTTCTTACTACACTAGATGGACGTGACCACTGGCCACAACTAAGTCTGCTAGGTGAGAGAGATTAGTGAATGATAACTACCTTATTACTTGTGTGCACCCCCAACAAATGTCCACAACATGTACAAAGTCACTAGTATTATCCATTGAACAAGGCTTCGAGACCCAAATGCTCAAGAAGGAATTACCAAAAAAATAATCCTCACCAGGTCTAAGGACCAATTACTATATCCTTGATACTCAAATCAATCCATAAGACATCACATGAAGCGGTATCTGATCCAGGCAGGAGGAAAGCCAACGAGATGCCCCATTGTAAGAAGATTGGCAGTGGTTGGTGGGTCTCTACTCTGAATTTCAACCGTAAGGAATCTGTTGAATACTAAAAGCCCAACTAATTACTAAAAGGTATAACCAGAAGCGAGAAATATGATATTGATTATGAGGAGACTTGTTGCTAAGATAAGAAAGTCCTTTTCTTGACTTGGCCTGAGTGCATTATACCTACTCCCTTTTTAAAGAACTTGATTTCAATCTCAACAAAGAAATGAAAGCATAACTTTTTGTCCTCTTACTCTTTTAGCCTGCCTTGTGGAGGTCTCTCAGGTGTCTACGACAGATTCGATCAATCTCGTGATGAAGAGAAGTCTTTTCCGATCTTCCACTAAGCTCTCTTAGAGTGCATATAGCGATTTATTTAGCTACTTATCTTGATTGACATTTGTTTCGTCGTTTTTTTGTTTCTGAAAGTTGATTGGAATCTGTTTAAGTTAGAAGTTAGAAATGCAACCAGGGTGACTTGGTTGATTCTTTTTTGGCTAGATTAGCAAAAAAGCAGTCCTAACCTTTACATGAATACCAAANGTGTGCATATAGCGATTTCTTTAGCTACTTATCTTGATTGACCTTTGTTTCTTCGTTTTTTTGTTTTTGAAAGTTGATTGGAATCTGTTTAAGTTAGAAGTTAGAAATGCAACCAGGGTGACTTGGTTGATTCTTTTTTGGCTAGATTAGCAAAAAAGCAGTCCTAACCTTTACATGAATACCAAATGTTCTTGTCCACAATGGGTATCTGGTCATAGCAGTCGAAACTGTAAAGGGGTATGACATTTGAAAAACATCTGTGTATTGAGAGAGAGAGAGAGAGAGAGAGAGAGATAAGGGAGACCTGAGAAGAAGAAAGCACTTCAGGTGAAAACCGGACATAAAGTTGACTTCCATAAACTGCAGAACTGACATCAAAGCCGCTGCCAACTTTTCCCTGTGCAATACAGTGGGCGGTTTGAGCTANAACTGGTCATAGCAGTCAAAACTGTAAAGGGGTATGACATTTGAAAAACATCTGTGTATTGAGAGAGAGAGAGAGAGAGAGAGATAAGGGAGACCTGAGAAGAAGAAAGCACTTCAGGTGAAAACCGGACATAACGTTGACTTCCATAAACTGCAGAACTGACATCAAAGCCGCTGCCAACTTTTCCCTGTGCAATACAGTGGGCGGTTTGAGCTATCACGTGCACCACATCCAGATCCCCGGTATCCTTCTTTTCTAGTTGTTGATCTTTAGTCAAGCAGGAGAGGTTAACAACTCCAAGATAATGCAGCAAAGCAGCTACCACTGCAGTTGTCATAGCAGCAGATGATCCCAATCCAGTTTTTGCAACTTCAGGCTTGCAATTCTTTCCACCAGATTTTTCTGCATTGAAAGTAATTGAAGTAAAAGGTGGAAGGGAAGCCAACGATTCTGGTGTCAAAGGGAGTCCACGTGCTTCAATCTACAAAAAGAGTTGGGTGGGGATTGAGAAATGGAGCTACACACATAAACATCTCAATATTTCTATCATTGGCGGAAATGAGAATTCAGGAGTTAGGTCTGCAAGTCTAAAATTCGAGGAATTGCATATAGAACTTCATTCCCTGAGACATCTTTAAATCTCATTTAAAATAAACTTCAATTTGGGATCCCAAATGATAAAAAGGCAATTTGTTGCACCATTGAAGTTGGCAATTTATTAGTTGTCCTGGGCAGAGGCGACTTAATAGATTCTATTGTAATCTTTTGCAAATATCTGAACTCATTGAACAGGGTCTTCAAAGGATAGTATCATGATTCACATGACCACAATGACAAAGGGCACACAACAAGAAAGACACATATGCACAGATGAAATGTTATGTACCACTACACCAAGGGGAAGTACAAATTTTTCTTTCACTGTATGTGGCTTTTCACCCTAATTGGACATTATTGATTGTACCATGGTATAATGTTGCAGAAGATTTTGTTTAAAGTTTTCTTTTTCAGAAGGTAATTGTGTTTAACTTGTATGTCTTATAAATATAAATTACAGGGGTGGGAAGAGGAAAACAGGAAAAAGATGCCACAAAAGGCCAAATAGATGAATTAAGGTTTGCAAAAATCATAGAAACGGTGATATACCTGGTTGCGGTATGAATAGAAGTCATTGCAGCCTAAGATTGTTATATCAAGACCTGCATGACTAATTAGTTGAGCAATTAGAGAAGTTCATATTTCTTTATTAGGAAAGACAAACATGTGAAGCATCAAACATTACCTTGCAAAAGTAGTTTCTGTAACGCATCCTTCTTATTACCGTCAAATGTTGCATGTGCGGCTGCTACAGCATACTGCACAGCATATTCTACAAAGGGGTTCCTTGATTCACTGAGATTTAAATAGTCATTTTAAGATTGCATTCAGTGTTGTACACACATGCATGATCAAGGACATGCGGTCATAGTCAAAGGCAAAGAACCGTACGATGGTACAAAGATAAATGAAGATATTCAACCAAAATACTTGCCTCGAAGAGACACATTGAAGTGCTAAACATGGTAGTGACATTTTGTACATAGTTTCTCTTGACATCTGGGGAGAAATTAATTTCACATCTGTCCATGCCTGAAAGCAGGGAAAGGCGGTGAAGGAAAAAAATAATTTTCAAGCGTTCAATCTTAGAATTACAATCTACTATGCAAAAAATTAGCAGCAATAAACACTATTACATGATTAAGTTACAATCGCCAGTTTATTTGGTAACTGAAAACAGTGGGGGCCGAATCGATCAAGAAACCAAATCGCAGACACGAATGCAAACAAGCAATCGTGGTTTGACCATAAACAATAACATTTTTGTAGGTTAGATGAATCCACTTCAAGACCATTTTCATAGTCTATTTGCACATATTGAACAAAGCATTCTTGAACTATTCAGAAAATATCTAAATCTTTCACTATTCACCTTTTAAAAACAAGAGTAATATTGTAAATTGTAATAGTATGTCCCATATGTTTTGCATTGTCAAATGAAAGTCACAAAGAAAATAATTATTTCTCTACTGCAGATAGACTCTGGTCAACTTTGGTTGACTCCACAACTACCACCATCTTTGAAATATAGATGTCATTTAACGTTAACAAATCAGCAAAAAATATAGACGCAGCATCAAGTCACCAATCAAATTGATAATTAAAAACCCACAAATTTTCAAATTTGGAGGGAAGAAAATGAATCAGTGCTTTGACCCCCTACTCACACCCATTCCAATTCTTATCTCAAGACTCATTAAGATCATTGCACCAAGAAAAATTTCAGTGCATTACAAGAAAATTATATAAGAATATCACATCACAAAGCTAAGATAATGGTGGAAAAAACATGAAGATACATAAATAAGGCTAAAGAGAGTAAATTATCGTAGAATCACACACCCAATCACAGCTTTCGGGTTTAACTTCTTCGTAAAGTGGTCTCACAATTGCATAGAATCGAGCATTTGTGCTAAGTACAATCCCAGCATAGGGCCTCTCCAAAATAAGGTAACCCCCAGTCATCAAAACCTTTCCAGGAGCAGAAGCAACTCTATTTAACCATTAAAAAACCAAAATCAATATACAAATTTCTTTTTTGAAGTCCATAAATCCTAAAAAAAGGAGAGAATTTTGAGGGATTTTAACAAGAAATTACAGACTTACACGGCCATTTTTCTGCAATTTCCAATCTAATCTTAAGAATGCTGAGATTCAACAGATATGAGCTGTAATAAAAGTCAGTCATTCAGCTGAAGGAATACTGAATTGGGAGTTACACTCAACTCTTACTCGGTCCATTCTTCTTTAAATCGAATAACAATAAAGAGACATCTATTAGTTTTATATTAGTTTCCCTAATTTTCACAGCAACCAAACAGTGGAAAATAAAAAATTGTATTGTCAATTGCCTTGAATACCTGTTAATTTAGAGATCAATCATATGCATATATATGTATTGACAGTGTTGTGTGTTTACCTGAAAAAGAGAGTGAGGCGGAGAAGAAGGTATTTGACTGGCAGGTGAGTGACAAGCACCTCCTCCTCAATTCGCAGCCTTGAACGCAACGAAGAAGACACCAGTCTTTGTTCAAACATGTAGCAGCACAGCTACCACTTTATGGGTAAATTTCATGCGGACCCCTGATATTTAGTTTATTACAGGTATACTCATCATATTTCAGAACTTACACTGACATCCCTTGACATATGAAATTTGTAATTGGCTCCGACTAATAGACATTGAAAAGACTAACCAATCAATGCTCATCTTAAAGAGTTAAAATAAAATTATATTTAAAAGCAAAATTTACCTACCCTATATATATGTTAATTATAATATTAACATTGTATCTTTTAATTAATCAAACAAATTAAAGATTTAATCATTAGCTTTAATTTGATTGTCAAATAATCTTGACATTAGTAATCCTGTTAATTAGTAATCATATTTATTAACATGTTAATTAGTTTTCATGTTAATTAAAATTTATAATTCATTAACAAATAAGACAATCTCTTGATACCGTCCATTTCAAAAACACCTCCATCTTTACGACATCGCCCACTACTGTTTTTCACACACCAACACACTTAAACCCAAATTGAACCCAGTATCTACCACCAACACTATAAAATCAACAAATGTAAAACCCAAATCAAATATAGATAAAAGTGACATGAACCCATTGTTGCACCGTTACCCATGACTCCATTATCGATTTTCCATCACTCACTTTAAATCTTAAATCACTTGGATCTTTGAAAAAATTCAACCCTCCTCTTCCTCAAACCACCATGTCCACCCCAACTCATTCACACACAGTCTCACTATAAACCAATGAGGGAATATTGTAGTTGCCGAAAGTCCAGTTGTCTAACAGTCTAGGAAGCCCTAGGAAAGGTGAGGTGAAGAGGGTGGTGAGGTACTTGATCCATAAACCCATCCTACATTGCCTGATCAGATAAAGTTGTTGCGCTATATTTGTAAAAGCTCTGCTTTAACTGATGTGACGTGTTTTAAAGTCACAAGGGACAACCAAAACAAACAATATTACATGCGTTGGATGGGTCATTACAAAACATAGTCCCACCAACACATTCACCAACACTTGTGACATAGCCCCACACCACCCATAACCACCCAATTACTCTAATTCAAACTAAAAGTACCAAAATCCAACCATCAATTTCAACTCAATTACACAAATTCAACCACAAACTAAACCCAAAGACAATACGATTGTTGTGGTTGAGCAAGTTCCAGAGAGTCTTGTGTGTGTTGTTTGTGTCTATGTTGTGGGTTTGTGGAGTTAGGGTGATCTTTGGTTTGCCACCAACATGAAAAACCACAGATAATAGGAACATATGGAGNAACACAAATATTAGGAACATATGGAGAAAATAAAAACAAAAGGATTTTTTAATCAAACATAAACTGTCTATGTGTGTGTGAAAGAGAAAGAAAGATAGAGAGATGAGAATGAAGATGAGTGGTTGTGGACTATAGAGTTAGGGTGGTGGTGGTGGAAGGTAGGTGGTGAAAAATGATAGTGAAGGCTACTCGAGTGGAGTGGGGGGAAGAAATGTGCACGTTTGGCCCAAGGATTTTATCATTCCAGCATACAGGCTAGGTATGAGTTTGTAGGATTGGGCCTAAGATTTGATCTATATAGTGTATTTGATTATATAAGTTTGACCAATCAAATGGAGGGCAAAATAGTCTTTTTACAAATATTGCTAACCCATTTAATTTTTAGGGTCTCAATATAATTTCTAAAACATAAGAGAGTGTTTATGTAATAAATCTAAATGTCAGGGTCAGCATAAAATTTACCCTAATAATATTAAACCACGCTAACAAATACACTATATTAAGTTAAAAGAATAGGTCCAATTTGTGAATTAATAATCACTCCACCGTCCTGACCCCCCAAAAAAATAAAAAATTACTCCAGGTAATTAATTAATTTATTACAATGAAGATTCTCTAAACTAATTCCCGCATACCTTGATATCCTGCACCTTTGTTAGCCGCACTGATAATAAAATTTTGAACATTTTTTAAGGTGAAAGTGAAAAGTGGGTTTAGAGATGAGGAGAGCTAGGGGCGAAGATCGAGTCGTGTCGGGTTATTGTGCGTTCGTGTTGAATATTAATTAATTCTAACTTAACTTATTTTATTAATCATTATGTGTCTAGTTAATCTGTTTATTTTCATGTCGTATTTGTGTTAATCTATATAAATTTTAAATAAAAAATTTAATGCTAAGATTCTGTCTTTACTTAATTGAATTTATACTCATATATTTTTTTTACCAAAAATAATAATAATAATAATAATAATAATAATAATAAGAAGAAGAAGTACCATACAAACGGAAAAAATAAGAAAGTGTCGGTTATTAAATAAACGGGTTAATAGTGTCTGATTTGGTGGGTTGAGCTCCGAACATGATTCGTTTATATTTTGTGTTTGCGTATCGAGTATTTTTGACTTGAGGACAAGTTATACTTGATTACCTACCATAAAATTCGTGACAGGATCGAATCTGTGTTGCCGAGTCGTCAATTGCCACCCAGATCGATTTAGGCTTTTGTTGTGTCAATTTATATGCAGGGAAGGAATTGCAGGCGTTAAGGTAACCGGGTAACCCGTCTGATAAGTACCCGCTGCCGGGAAACAATTACCTCGGACTCCATTATTAATCTGCTCGAACAGTCGCCGACTTTTGGACAACACAGTTAGAGCCAGATCTAACCTTCCCTTTCCTCCTCTGAATTGCTCTGTTTCGTCGACTTACTCATAGATAGGAAAGTAGCAAAGAGATGCAGAAACTGGGTGATTTGAAGCTTCCCCATTTCTTCAATTATCCTCCATACTTCACGTAATCATTTGATATTACTCTTCAACAGATAAGATTTTTTTTTTTCAAAATCTTACATTTTGGGGATGCAATTTAGTTTGGGTTGTTTTTAAATCTAACAATTGGGTGTGTGATTTGATTTGGTTTTTTTTTTAAAAATTTTAGTTTGCAGCCGGTGAGGGACACTCGAGAGAAGCAGGTACAACTATGGAAGGAGCTGATACTTGATTATTGTAGAACTCAAAAAATATTTGTAATTGGATTGGAGGAAGACTTTCCACTATTCACTAATTCTGTCATTGAAAGTAAGCCACCACTTTCACTTGTTTCTTTCTTATTAGTTTCTCTTTTGTCTCTTGGATAATGGATTGATCAATTTAGATGCTTATTCAGTCCATTGAAGTATTTGATAAGTTCATGTTCTGTTCAGAATTTTAATTTTGGAGGTCCATTTTATTACTATTTGCAAGATGAAATGATTAAAAACAGTGGTAGGGATGATCAGTGCAACATTATATCCGGTTGAATTTTTAATCTTGGTTACCCTTGACATTGTTCTCTTTAACTCTTGTTTACCCAATCATTATTTGAGGCAAGCGATATATACCTGGCCTAAAGCTGAAAAATAAGGAGAGGGTTTGCTCAAGTGGAAAGAAAAGTAGTAACCTCAATTTGTCTATTGCTCTTAGACGTTGTTAAGTTGGAATTCAGATTAAAACTGGGATCATCAAGTAGAGTGTTACTCCACGTTTAATTTTTATTTGGAGTATGTTTGATCACGTGATGTGCTGCAGCTAAATTACATTTGGATTTTGGGTTAGTGCAGGGTCTCTTAGTCATGAAGCTAGGGTGGCATTCCTCTCAGCCTTAGTTTCAGATGGTTTGTTTCATCTTACCAATTGAATCATCCTCTTAATTTCCTTGGTAAAGCCCTGATTATGCTTCGTCATCTAAATTTTATTTGACAGGGCGTGCGGAATGGATGGATAAAGGTCATAGAAAATGTCTTATTCTTTGGCATCGGATTCAAGAATGGGCTGACTTGATTTTACGCTTTGTGAGTTGAAATGAGATCTTGCTAAGAGCCTGCATCATTTATGATGTTTGCTTTCTAATGAACTTTCTCACATTCCTCAATAGGTGAAGGAGAATGGATTAGAGGACAGTGTGATGACGGTTGAGGAAATACGTTCAGGGACTGAATCCCGAGGAACAGGTAGCCTTTGGATGCATTTAAAACAGCAAAAAAGAAGTGCTAGAATTGACAATTGTCATTCCCTGTGATTCCAATATTGTTTCTTATAAATGACTACTCACACTTCATTGCTATAGACGAGCAAGAAGGGTAAGATTATCCCATACAAAACCAACACTAGAAATCCTTTCCCGAGAACTAGTTGAAACACCCATACTTTTATTACCATCAACGAGGGCACAAAAGTGAGAGAGGTTCAACTCTCCAAGTAAAAAAAATGTAAAGAAATGTAGAAGAAGAAGATTTTTGGCTTAGACTTTACATAAAGGTACAGTAACAAGATTCTTCTTGCAATTGAAATAAACTTTTTGGAAGCAAAACAAAATTCAACAGTTGTCTTATACTGTAAAAACCAACAGTCATGCTTGTCGAAGTGGTGTGTAAACAACTTCCACCTTGAATGCCTATGAAAATTTGTTCATAGATTAGAATATATTACAACACATATTTTGAGAGGATTTTCTAGTGAGAAGCAGTTTCATCTGATATATATCGTTCCCTTGCTTGTCCCAAATCTTGGAAATCATAGAGTAGAATCCTGAAGGAAAACTTGTACGTTTTCAGTCATTCCCAAATTAACCAAATATGTATATATATGTGTGTGTGTGCGCGCGCTTGCATCTCTGGCTCCGATTATTGGTAATAGGAGAAACCTGGAACAATTACTCGAACTAGTATTTTTGCTTAAAAACTAAATGCGTCAAGCTTTTTGAGACTTCCTCTTTGTTACTTACTGTGCTAGCTTTGTATGACTCAAATTAAGTATAGAATGATTTTTATTACTAGCGACTCTATTCTAAACTTTTGTACGTTTAGCTGTTTCCAGTATCGTGCCCATCATTGGGATTATAGTAATCTTAGTTTAGTTACTGATACTTGGAATATCTTGATTCCTATCAAGAAACTGTGTTCTTTGGGAATTTTTCTCTCTTTTGGGAATGGGTCTCCCAAATTATTAGGTCCCACGACAAATATTACGCAGCAGAAAAGAGTAGATAGTCAGTTGACTTGTTTCATTTGACATACAAGTATTTCGGAGCATATGTTTATTAAGTAACTGTAGTGGAAGCAATCAGGCAAATTTTTTCCCAATACTTCAATTTCTGGCCTTGTTCCTATCTTAAAAAAATTCTGCAAGACTGGTCTGCATCATGTTTATTTGCCTTTGTTTTCATATGTAGGGTTAGACATCTCACTCATTAGTTTTTATCTTCATGAAATGGTGGTGACTAACATGATTTGCTATTTGGGTGTTTCCTCATTATGAGATGTTTCTAGGGACACAATCTTCATTTTGACGTAACTCTTTTTATTTGCTAATATTCTGTTTTCATGGTGTTTCGATGAATATTAGCTAAACCCCACGAGATTTATCTATTAGCATTATAATTACCAAGGTGAACATCTAGAAGCACATCAGGTTAACCATCCTTCTTCTGGTTTTTCATGATTCCTGCTATTAAACGTTAATCTGTTAGTCACTTGTACTTTGTTGACAAAGGTCACGCCATTTTTCTTGTTATGCATCCCTGATTATGTTCTCATATTTATAACTCTCTCTCTGAACTCTTTAATAAAGTGTGGTATCATACTTTTATTATAACTTCTCAAGACTTTAGGCAGTCTCATCACTGTCTCTCTCTATCACAGATCTTCATGGGATGGATCGCACAGTTTTGATGCGGGCTCTGAAACAACTAGAAAATAAGGGGAAGCTTGCAATCTTCAAGGGAACTTCGGCTGATGATGAAGGGGTGAAATTCTCTTTATAACGTTTCTGCTCTCACATTTTGCTGGTTTCTTGTTGTGTACTATGACCTAAGACATGATTACAAGGCGTTTTGTTGTGATTGGAATTGATGTTTCTACCTAACAACTAAAATTGCACTATCTGAATAAGTTATTTTTTGATTGATTTGAAAAATGATGGTCATATTTCAACAGAATTTAGTTACCGAATTCGCCATCCTTGGAACTTTGGTCAGTTAGAGAAAGCTTCTTCGGCGTATAAAGTTCCCTAAACTAAATTTCATTTTGAAACGGTTAGAACGTCTGAAACGTTTTCATTTCTATGGAAATTGAAACAAATTATTGATTAAATATTAAAATTCTTATGTTTTGAGATATTTTGTTGTATTTTGGCATGTTTCGACCAATGTTACAAAAATAAATTTTTAAATTTTTTTGAAATGAAATTTTGATCCTTGGCACTTCCTTGATAAATTGGCTTATGTAGCTGTTTGAAGGCATGTACAGTGTACAATTCCTTATCTTGTTATTTGGTTAAAAAGGGGTTGAGAGGTAACTAACTCATCATAAGTTTTAAAATATCAACTTGAGCTCAATCCGAACTTAAATGCAATGGGCACCTTTCAACCTGGATATTGCACATATCTAAAATTTCAAATTTGTGTCGAACTTGAGTTGTACAACTTAGAGTTGAAGCTCAAATTTTAATTTGAGTTCANTATTGAAATGAAATTTTGATCCTTGTTCTCTTTTCTGTGGCACTTCCTTGATAAATTGGCTTATTGATCCTTGTTCTCTTTTCTGTGGCACTTCCTTGATAAATTGGCTTATGTAGCTGTTTGAAGGCATGTACAGTGTACNTTTTGAAATGAAATTTTGATCCTTGGCACTTCCTTGATAAATTGGCTTATGTAGCTGTTTGAAGGCATGTACAGTGTACAATTCCTTATCTTGTTATTTGGTTAAAAAGGGGTTGAGAGGTAACTAACTCATCATAAGTTTTAAAATATCAACTTGAGCTCAATCCGAACTTAAATGCAATGGGCACCTTTCAACCTGGATATTGCACATATCTAAAATTTCAAATTTGTGTCGAACTTGAGTTGTACAACTTAGAGTTGAAGCTCAAATTTTAATTTGAGTTCATTTTTTAGGTTATAAAGCTCGAATTAAAATTCAATTTGAATCTCAGTTGCACAAATTGAGTAATATTTAAGCAGGTATTTTGTGTTAAGTACTCAAGGTTAAGAGTGTTGAAATATGATACGACACAAATATGATACGAAATTAAAGAGTTTAAGTTTTTTTTAAGCTACTCGTTTCGTAAATGTGCGGATCTGACACAACTCAATTAAAAAACGAATCAAATAAGGGTAAAATCAATAAAAAAAAAAAATACATGACACGACTCATTTATATATTAATTATACATATATTAATCCGATATGACACGATTTGTTAAATACGAATTAATAAACGAATCAAATATGAGTGAAATATTTTTTTGACACGAACTTATTAAAACCCGACATGAATTTGCCTCACTTGATATGATTGACAGGAACAGCCAAGGTACACTGCTAATTACAACGGCTCCATCTGTTGCTAGAACAAAAAACCGAAGGATTTGTCTGTCTGACTTTTTGTCTTTCTTTCTTTATCGAGAGGCATGAGAAGTCTTGAGAGAGATGGAAATATCAGATAACACTGAACTCAATAGGGAATGGAAGTGCTTGCTATGCCTGCCATTTTCGTATATCATTTCAGATCCAATTGAAAAATGATCATCGTTATTACAATATATTTCAACATACAAACTTAACACCATAACCCTATTGGGAAAATTGGAAAAGGAGTGTGTATATAGAGGTCTAAGAAAGTGCAGAGAGGTGAATATCCATTATGCATGTATAGATTTGTACTCTCACGATGCTCATGCATAAGATGGAGCCAGGCATTCGTCAAGCATATCTATCAGGTTAGGATTTTCCAAGGCTGCTGCTACCCGTTCTTTATCGTTCAACTGTTTATTCACTGCACCCAAAAAAGTAGCATAGCAGGTGTTACAACTATAAGATTTACTAAGGGCAAAAGTGATTCGGACTTCACTGATTCAAGTTAAGAATTAAGGTTGCATACGTATGCAAGAACCTCGTGGACTGGACTGTTCTTTTTTATATATGTATTTTCCCCACATCACTTAAAATCGCATACGAAAATAATTTATACAGGTGCATGCTAAAATTCTTATCCCATGCTTCTCTTTCACAGTATGTCATGCTACACTTCTAGTTATGTGTGCATGCTAGATTACTTGTACATGCAAGATGTCAAGTGTGACGGGTTTTAAAGTAGTTGATGCAAGAGAGAGAGAGAGAGAGAGAGAGAGACCTGCAGCTTCAGTGGCATGACTCCCAGGAGCTACCCTAATATCAACCTAGAAAAATAAAATGAGTTCATTAAGGTAAAGAAGAAGAAGAAAACAACCACAAGAAAGAAGATTGAGACATACGTCAGAAGTTAAAGCACTTGAATATGAATGCAGCAGAAAAAACACGGCTAAACAATACTTGGAATTTCCATCAAAAATTGACATTATCTATCACTGCATAGTTGGAACAATTACTAATTTACTATGTAGCCCAACATATCTAAACCAGTTATCAAAAATTTGAGTGAAAACATTAGATGAAGCCACTATCTCACTATGGATGTCGAACCAAAAGTTTACTTTTTTTTCCCCCTGCAAGAATGGGATTCTAAATACATTAAGTTCTTAAATGGAAATTTTGTAAACTTTAAGCTGAATAGTATAGTTATAATTTACTAACTGAGAAAAGCCACTAGCTCAGTGGTCTTGGGTTATTTCCTGGGAATATATATTCCAACATTTCCTTTTTTATTTCTTTGTTTATCTTGACACATTTGCATGGCCCCATATTAAGTAGAAACACAACATGTGATATTGAAATGCCAAAAAGAACTCATACTGAATCAACTTTGAGCTAATGTCTCAATCTTAAAACGGCTTGCAANTCATAAGTTTTAAAATATCAACTTGAGCTCAATCCGAACTTAAATGCAATGGGCACCTTTCAACCTGGATATTGCACATATCTAAAATTTCAAATTTGTGTCGAACTTGAGTTGTACAACTTAGAGTTGAAGCTCAAATTTTAATTTGAGTTCATTTTTTAGGTTATAAAGCTCGAATTAAAATTCAATTTGAATCTCAGTTGCACAAATTGAGTAATATTTAAGCAGGTATTTTGTGTTAAGTACTCAAGGTTAAGAGTGTTGAAATATGATACGACACAAATATGATACGAAATTAAAGAGTTTAAGTTTTTTTTAAGCTACTCGTTTCGTAAATGTGCGGATCTGACACAACTCAATTAAAAAACGAATCAAATAAGGGTAAAATCAATAAAAAAAAAAAATACATGACACGACTCATTTATATATTAATTATACATATATTAATCCGATATGACACGATTTGTTAAATACGAATTAATAAACGAATCAAATATGAGTGAAATATTTTTTTGACACGAACTTATTAAAACCCGACATGAATTTGCCTCACTTGATATGATTGACAGGAACAGCCAAGGTACACTGCTAATTACAACGGCTCCATCTGTTGCTAGAACAAAAAACCGAAGGATTTGTCTGTCTGACTTTTTGTCTTTCTTTCTTTATCGAGAGGCATGAGAAGTCTTGAGAGAGATGGAAATATCAGATAACACTGAACTCAATAGGGAATGGAAGTGCTTGCTATGCCTGCCATTTTCGTATATCATTTCAGATCCAATTGAAAAATGATCATCGTTATTACAATATATTTCAACATACAAACTTAACACCATAACCCTATTGGGAAAATTGGAAAAGGAGTGTGTATATAGAGGTCTAAGAAAGTGCATAGAGGTGAATATCCATTATGCATGTATAGATTTGTACTCTCACGATGCTCATGCATAAGATGGAGCCAGGCATTCGTCAAGCATATCTATCAGGTTAGGATTTTCCAAGGCTGCTGCTACCCGTTCTTTATCGTTCAACTGTTTATTCACTGCACCCAAAAAAGTAGCATAGCAGGTGTTACAACTATAAGATTTACTAAGGGCAAAAGTGATTCGGACTTCACTGATTCAAGTTAAGAATTAAGGTTGCATACGTATGCAAGAACCTCGTGGACTGGACTGTTCTTTTTTATATATGTATTTTCCCCACATCACTTAAAATCGCATACGAAAATAATTTATACAGGTGCATGCTAAAATTCTTATCCCATGCTTCTCTTTCACAGTATGTCATGCTACACTTCTAGTTATGTGTGCATGCTAGATTACTTGTACATGCAAGATGTCAAGTGTGACGGGTTTTAAAGTAGTTGATGCAAGAGAGAGAGAGAGAGAGAGAGACCTGCAGCTTCAGTGGCATGACTCCCAGGAGCTACCCTAATATCAACCTAGAAAAATAAAATGAGTTCATTAAGGTAAAGAAGAAGAAGAAAACAAACACAAGAAAGAAGATTGAGACATACATCAGAAGTTAAAGCACTTGAATATGAATGCAGCAGAAAAAACACGGCTAAACAATACTTGGAATTTCCATCAAAAATTGACATTATCTATCACTGCATAGTTGGAACAATTACTAATTTACTATGTAGCCCAACATATCTAAACCAGTTATCAAAAATTTGAGTGAAAACATTAGATGAAGCCACTATCTCACTATGGATGTCGAACCAAAAGTTTACTTTTTTTTCCCCCTGCAAGAATGGGATTCTAAATACATTAAGTTCTTAAATGGAAATTTTGTAAACTTTAAGCTGAATAGTATAGTTATAATTTACTAACTGAGAAAAGCCACTAGCTCAGTGGTCTTGGGTTATTTCCTGGGAATATATATTCCAACATTTCCTTTTTTATTTCTTTGTTTATCTTGACACATTTGCATGGCCCCATATTAAGTAGAAACACAACATGTGATATTGAAATGCCAAAAAGAACTCATACTGAATCAACTTTGAGCTAATGTCTCAATCTTAAAACGGCTTGCAACGGTCATTTTTAACATAAAAAAGAGAGAGCATCGATAATTCAGACACACTGGTGGTAGTGCTGGCCTCACTTCACATAGCCAGTAAGTTAGTCTCTAATCAAGTTGTGTAAAGGCATGTCAAACATAACCTTTCAGAAATGGTTGAAAAACTCTCCTCATTGTCCCCTGACAAACCTAGTTACTCGCTCTTTATTTTCACAAATTCAAGCACAACACACCACTTTTATTGCAAGAATTAAATGGTAATTGGATGAACTCCCGATGATCTCAAGTTAGGCTCATCCACAAAAGCAAATAATGTGTAGGATATCATCAACCCGGTTGACAAGATGATGATAGAGGCCATACCTTATAACGGGAAGGCAGACTACGCATAAGTTTCACTCGCAAGCAGAGGCCAATCACTGTTGCCATACTGCAATGTTCAACTGTTGGAGTGAATGTGATCCTGATTCAGAGTAACATTTTCCATTAAAACAGAGCATGAATGCAGTAGGCGTTGAAATGCAAACAATGCAGAAGTAGTTGTTTTTACCTTACATAGCTACTTTTATCATCCACCTCAATTGCATCTTCTGTTATAACTTTCAGTTCCTCCAAAGAATACGGATGCTCTGGATCTTTGATGTCTCTAATATGATTTAATAATGTTAAGAAAATATGTTTTCACAACTATTGATTGGCTTGTAAGTTTCAATCGAGAACTGTGTTTATAAGAGAGAGTATATTTTCCAAACTGAAAAAAAAAAACAGAATTTACTTCTTGTTTCCTACTTAGTGTCTTCCTTTCAAAAGCAATTGAAATTCCTTATATATGCACGTATAATATTATCATCATAACAAATAGAGGGTTGAAATGGAAAAAAACTGCCCTTCTAAATCACACAGAATAATGTAAGACATGAAATTCCACATCAATCGGAACTTCCACTTTCTTATTTATCTCTTTACTTTGGATAGTGATTCACAGGAGTCGCATGTGCGTCTTTCTTAGTAATGATTATGTGCCACACAACTTCATAGGTATGCATTCAACCAACATATACATATCCTATATATAATATAACATATGACGTACTTCAAAACAATTGACCTACATTCTAACCAAAGAGATTGCCTGAGACTGAGTGGAATCGGTATAAAGGTTAGCCCGAACTTATAAATCTCCATAAGGAATTTGCATAACTGACCCCTAGTTGTAAAACAATCTACCGCTTGACGAGGTAAATAATTTGCAACAATTTTCAAATTATTTATATGGAAGCATGTTTTCATTAAACAACATACATAATCTTGCCCGTATTTCTCTGAAAATAAATTTAAGCTCAAAACTTTTGCGCATGTGTGGTTTGTCTGTGTATGTATGTGCATGAGAGAGAGAGAGAGAGAGAGAGAGATTTTACATATTGCTCATGAGAGTTACAACACCTTTGAAATGCATCCATCATGAGTTTTTGTCTACTTGACACAGAAAAAAAATGAGATACTAAACTATAAATGGTATAATAAAAACTGGGTAACAGAATTGACATGATAAGCACAAAATGCAATCCAACTGAAAGGATATCAAAAATTTCTTGCTGGTCTATTGATCCCACAGCATACTTGTCCACATCACCCTGTGGGTTACGAGCTTGACGCTCCTTTTTCTCATAGACAACAGGATTGGCATTTATTGACTCCGAAACCATTTTCACTGCTCAAATTAGGAATATTAAGTTAGATTGCCATAATTTGAACAATCACAAACTTCACTGTACAATCACAGTATAAGATTGATGCTGAGAAGAATAAAGCAAATCACATAAACTTGCAAACTCAATAAATATAACTTTCAGGAAGATAAATTTATCTGGCAGAGTTTTCCAAATTAAAACAACCATTCTAAATTCCAACTCAAATCTAAAGTTGCTCTCACTATATAAGTTTCTACAGTTTTGCAACAACAAATTTTCTTTCTTTAAAATTTGGCCACAAGAATTTCGGTTATATTCGGTGCAATTTTTCAGCTGTTATTATTTTTTTCATCCAAAAACGTTTCTATTTTGCAAAATGCATTCAATCCTAGCGCCTGGCAAACACAAAGTTCACATAAATCCACAAAGAACTTGATGACGAAGAAAAATCCACAAAAAAACAGATGAGAATCACACAAACAAATTCATGAACAGATTGAGGGCTAATATTTTGAAGGTGGGCCTTAGCACAGCTATAAAATTATAAAGTTATTGGGACCTGGGTGTCAAAGAATCAAGAGCGGACACAGCCTCTCCACATGAGCAGGGTGGTTGCGTACATTTGACCCTCCCAAACTCTGCAGCCTTGTGCACTTGATCTCCTTTTTTTTTTATTGAGGGCTAATATTTTGCCAAAAAATTTGAAATTCAGGCATGTTNCGGCCTTGTGCACTCGATCTCCTTTTTTTTTTTATTGAGGGCTAATATTTTGCCAAAAAATTTGAAATTCAGGCATGTTCATCCTTATTTATCTCAAAACAATCCTAAATTCTTTAACAAATGCAACCTTAAAACATTAGTGCATAACTCTCTTAACCAAACAATAATAATCCGCCACACTCTTCAATACTACAAAACTTGGCTTCAGACAACAAAACTCAACAGTAAACACTAATCATATCCACACATAAAATCTGGGTTTAAATAGGAATAAAGCTACAAACACATGAACAGTAGTCTATGTATATAAGTATGTATATGTATTCATATTTTAATAACTGCAAAAAGAAATCCAAAAGAAGATACAATTTTTTCACCAAGATTATGGATAATTTTTTCATAAAGAGGAACGCAAATTAAATAAATTAGACAATTCTATATTTTTTACCTTATACCTCCAATCTGTACCAAACAAAACCTCTTTTGAGTTTGGTCTTCGGATGGAGAATGAGAGGGAAAGAGAGAGGTAGTTTAACTTTAATCTGTCAATATAGAGATTAGAGATAAACAAAAATGTGATATATGTATGGATAGGAGATAGAGAAAGAGAATGAGAGCCAGACGAACCGAGCCAGACGAACCTACCCAGAAGAACAGGAAGAAGAAGAAGAAGAAAAAGCGGGGAAAATTAGATTTGCGGAAATTAAATGTGGACCCCTAAGGTTTTGGTTAATATCAAATGAACCATGCGGAGAAAATTACTTGTGAACCCAAATTTTCTCTAATTCGTTTTGATACTCTAACCCAATCACTTCTCGTAATATCCTTTATTTTCTATCTTGCAATGTTGGTTAATAAATTTATTAATTCATTTTCCCCAGTTTGTGTGAATCTCAAATCCCATTTTCTTGACTTTTGGATTTTTTTGAAATTTTTAACGGTATGTGGCGTTCTACTATTAGTTTTTATTTTTTTTCCCTAAAAAATAATTAATTAAAGATAACGAACATTATTTAGCTTGAAATTCGAAATGACATAATCTATACTATTAATTGACTAGGTGTGTTAGGTGTCTACACCTGACAAATAACTATAATACCCATAGAATGTCTATAATAACCACCACTAACTCTCTTTCTATCTCCTACCACACTTAACTATTTCCCCATTAAATATCAGTATTATTCCTCAATTCTTTTTTATGACCACTTATAATTACTTATAATTTTTTATTTAATTATACTTAGCCACCTAAAATTTTCATTTAACAATATTGGGATAATCTCAACTTACACCTGAAAGATCACTAAAATTTTAAAATTTTAAAACAAAAAATACAAAATGTTAACAAAATTTATAAAATACCTATTTTTTTACCAACAATACTGGTTAAATAGATATTTTATGTCCACAATTAAACACAATTTTTTTAATTGTTTGATCAAATTAAAATTAGATACGAATAATATAACCGTAGACATAAAATAATTATTTAACGAGTATTATAGGCAAAAAAATAGGTATTTTTTAAAGTTTAAAAAATATTATATCAATTGTTGTAAATGTGAAAATATACGATACAACGCAATTGACTCTACACAAAAAGATTTTTTTTGTTAAAAATATTTTTTTATTGATTCGAACACAACACATAAATGTTATGACACCATACAATTGAGAGTTATTTAACGAGCATTAATGGATGAAATTCTTTTCGGATCATAAATGTAAAATATTTAAAAATTGAGAGGTATAATTTATAAATAATCCAAACATTTTTAACGACAAAATAGATGACAATTAGTTTCATGGGCATATTGATACATATTTATATCTTTTAGGTATAAATTAATATTTTAAAATTTTGAAGGTATAAATTAAAATTCGAGTAATCTTTTACAATACAAGTTAAAATATTCTAATTTTTATACATATTTATATCTACTTATCTGCATGACCCTATTACAAATAATTAGATTCTAACGTCCCCAAATACATTTCTTTCAATCTTATCTTCCACTCCCTCCGCCTCTTTCTAAGTATGTTCCTTCTTTTCCATCCCTCTTCCTCCATTCTACNTAGGGGTTCCGTCTGCATGACCCTATTACAAATAATTAGATTCTAACGTCCCCAAATACATTTCTTTCAATCTTATCTTCCACTCCCTCCGCCTCTTTCTAAGTATGTTCCTTCTTTTCCATCCCTCTTCCTCCATTCTACCTCTCTCTCTCTCTCTCACACACACACACATGCATTTCCCTTTCTTCTTTTTTTCCTCATCTATTTTTGAGTTGGCTGTTGACCCAGTTGGGGTTTCGTGATTGCTGTAACAAGAGTCTTGATGAAAGCAATAGGTTTGATAGGAATTTGTGTACAGAGCGTGTGTGGTGGATACAAATACAATGTTTTAAATCCCGGTCGGACCCGACTATTTGACCCGAGAAGCCAATGAATCGGACCTTAAATTGGGCCGACTCATCAATAAGGTTGTTTGAGCATCAAACTAGTCCAAAACATGTTGAATCACGTGGTCTTTGGATAAACCGTTCAAATCGAACGTTATCATCAAAAGCGGACGGGTCACTATAAGTCCTATAAAACAAGAAAAAGGTGAAATACATTTTTGATCCATAAAATTATGCACTTTGTGTCAGTTTGATCCCCAATCTTTTAATTGTATCAATTTAATTTCTCAACTTCTCAATTTGTGTCGTTTTAATCCAATAAAAAATGATAGTTGAAATTTATTAATGGACATCATCACGTGCATATTAAGTGATCACACTTGAAATGTATTCTTTGAAATTGTATGTGCATCTTGTCTGGAATTTCAGGTTGGTTGGTAAGATTTGTCTAGTAGCACAGGAGTTTTGAATCAATGTGATCAACAATTATTATGTCTTGCCCTCTTTGTAATCAACTGTTGTTTCTTTTGTTGTTCCTGGTTCCGTTTCAAATTTTTACTGTGCATTTTTCTGGTTTGCTGATGTTGTTCTGTGGTGTTAGTTTGGCAATGCCTGTAGTTGTTTCTATTTTCTTCTAGCGTCTGTTTTGATGCAATTGTAGTTTGTTCCCACTGTTCTATTGTCTTACTTTGAGGCAGTGTCGATGTTAGTTTGGCAATGCATATAGTTGTTCCTATTTTCTTCTGGTGTCTGTTTTGATGCAATTGTAGTTTGTTCCCGCTGTTCTATTGTCTTACTTTGAGGCAGTGTCTCTGTTGATGGTTTTTATCGGTTTGGAACTTTAGCAGATATGAGTACGATGATCATTTACTGTTACACCCTTTGCATCATTGTTTCCTGATATTAATCAAGTTCTTGCTTTTTTTTTTCTTCCTCTTTGATAGTTTGAGGATTACAAATCCTGTGGATTGTTCTTGGACTGATGCATAATTGGAATCTTCAACTTTGATAGAGATATTTTTCTCTTCTTAGCTTTATAAATTGCCTTGGAAATTGGATGCATTGAATACATGTTTAATAATTTTTGGATTTTTGTCTGATCTAATATACATTAAACATGCTATTTCTATGATTATTATAATTTTTTGACATATTTATTGTCAATAATAAATATTTTTATTATATGACCAGTTAGTAGGGGTGTTAATCTAGATGTACTACTCGGACTTAGATAAGACTCGGCTCACGCTTGACTTGTGTTTTAAACGAGTTGGACTNAATAGGGGTGTTAATCAAGATGTGCTACTCGGACTCAGATAAGACTCGGCTCACGCTTGACTTGTGTTTTAAACGAGTTGGACTTAAACTGTTTTTTAGATTTGTTTAGAAAAACGAGCTTAAAAGGCTCGTCTCGAACTCACAAGGCTCGTCTTGTTTATATGTAAAATATTTAANAGTAGGGGTGTTAATCTAGATGTACTACTCGGACTTAGATAAGACTCGGCTCACGCTTGACTTGTGTTTTAAACGAGTTGGACTTAAACTGTTTTTTAGATTTGTTTAAAAAAATGAGCCTAAAAGGCTCGTCTCGAACTCACAAGGCTCGTCTTGTTTATATGTAAAATATTTAAGCTATTCGGCCTCAATTCATTTTGTAAACAAATCGAGTTTACACAATTTTTTAGCCTCGTTTAAAAAAACAAACTCGACAGACTCGGACTCAACCTTGTTAAATTTGACTCAATTAATACCCCACTAGTTGGACAAGTGACCTAATGATTTGAACCAACGACTAATTGATCGGCCCCCTTTTCCGGNATAATTTTTTAGTCTCGTTTAAAAAAACAAACTCGACAGGCTCGGACTCAACCTTGTTAAATTTGACTCAATTAATACCCCACTAGTCGGACAAGTGACCTAATGATTTGAACCAACGACTAATTGATCGGCCCCCTTTTCCGGGATGATGTCCGAAACTATGGGTGGATATTTTCGATCTGACGGGCGGGGCGGTACTCCGCCGTTATTGTTGAAGCTGGGCAATGCAAAATTTATTTCCACAGAGGGGTCACATATATATGTTGTGATGTTTGATATGCTAGCAACAAGNGGCGGGGCGGTACTCCGCCGTTATTGTTGAAGCTGGGCAATGCAAAATTGATTTCCACAGAGGGGTCACATATATATGTTGTGATGTTTGATATGCTAGCAACAAGGTGTAATTTTCACATGGCATATTATTCGAAAATGGTAGTTAAAATAGGGTGGTTATTAGTGGGAATTAAAATAGTGGAACCAACTAAATGATATGTTATAATTGGTTGATGATACCACGTGACGTTGATGATGTGGTGTCACTGTTACATTGAATATTTTCTTCTATAATACACTGGCTAACTTCTTTTTTTTCTTGAAGTTTTTTCATGACATCCTTTTATTTTTCCTNTATCACTGTTACATTGAATATTTTCTCCTATAATACGCTGGCTAACTTCTTTTTTTTCTTGAAGTTTTTTCATGACATCCTTTTATTTTTCCTCTTAGCCGTTTATTGATAATTCGGCCTCCCTTTCACGTAATTCATGCATGTCAACGTCACTTGAGCTATATAACAATAGCTGTGTGTTAATTTCTTGAATGTGTAACAGTTTTTTGTACCATAGATAATTTGCTAGATAGATTTAGTTATTCATTCATTTTTAGGAGTTTTTGTGAATTTTTTTTTTCTAACTTTGGATGATCGATGTTATTGTAACTCTCACGGCATAATTTTACTTTACAAAGTTGGTTTTTGTTGATTTCATGCACTATTTCTGCGCTTAGATTGATTTTAATTGAAGTATATTGCACATATGGTATATTTAGTGTTTATATTTGGCCGGACTTTTTATGGGGTCCTGCTAGTGTTACTAGATGCTAATGTGTTTTGATACTGAGCTTCTGGATTTACAGTGTTGAAAGTAATTGTGCTTAGGTTGAGACTTGAACTTCTTCCGATGCTAGACATACCGCAATTCATATCTAACCTTTTTTCAAAACTATGAGAACCTATAACTACGATTTTATTCACCAGACCCGAAAGTGTAAATGGTCAGACGTCTTGAGTTCGAATCTTGTTAATCTCTTGAGTCAGACCATGNTGCGATTCTATTCACCAGACCCGAAAGTGTAAATGACTAGACGTCTTGAGTTCGAATCTTGTCAATTTCTTGAGTCAGACCATGAGAGATTTATCCCTCGTTAATACTCTAATTCCGGCGAAGATGGCCTGCCTTTGACCGGACTGAAGAGAGAATTAGTTGTGGNTACGATTTTATTCACCAGACCCGAAAGTGTAAATGGTCAGACGTCTTGAGTTCGAATCTTGTTAATCTCTTGAGTCAGACCATGAGAGATTTATCCCTCGTTAATACTCTAATTCCGGCGAAGATGGCCTGCCTTTGACCGGACTGAAGAGAGAATTAGTTGTGGTGCACATAAGCTAAATTGGACACCCATGACCATTGAACTTAAAAAAAAAAACAAAAACAGAGTGGAGCGACTAGATTTTGTACGGAAGGTGATAAATTGTATTGACAAATATTAGGGTTCTCAATGAATGTTTGTCTAGAAGTTGTAAGATTCTCATATAGTGAAACAATGGTCTCTTGGGCATATGTAGAATTTCTACCGAACCACTAAAATTTTTGTGTTCAGTGTTCTTGATTTTCTTTCCTCATTGTTCGTCGCACTGTACATTCACAACACAACACTAACAAGAAAAAGAACTATATTCAAGTAATCTAAGGAACATCTAAAGAGCATATACAAAATGGAGAATCTTCTCTTTAAGAAAATCCCATCCTTGTTTACAACTTTCTCCTCAACACAAGGATCACATAAAGCACTCTAGAATCAACAAAATACAAAAACATCAAAGACTAACAACAGTGGTGAAATGGGTTCATCGTCAAAGACAAAACCATCAGGCATGTCACGGAAATGTCTTCGGCAGTGGTAATAGAAGAGAGGCTCCAGCAATCTCTCATCAAATTCTGGAAACTTTTAATTGCTATTGCTGCTGCTAAATGAGTGGGAAAGTGAACTTGATCTATCTAATTAGATGAAATCAAACTCTACCTGGCCACTTGGACTACTTGTTATAAACCCCTATTATGAAAGAAAAACAAAAAACTGGATTAGAAAAATCAATTTCAGTTTACTTGAGAAGAAGGCAAGGGAAAAATAATTGAACACAAAACAGTAAATCGGAGGAGGAGATTATCCTGACCTGGTAAGAACTCTTTTCATCTGTATAGATATTTTTTCACCAAAAGACCCTCTTCATTATGATGTCCAATCATCACCTTAGGGATATGCTTAATTTTCCAATACTCCCCTGCTTCTCTGTCTCGATTCGACAAGGCCCTAACTACAAAAGGAGGCATATCAACTAGACGTAATGATTTAAGTTTGGCTAGATATTCGATTCCTGATGGCACCTCCAACAGTTCACAGGACTCAATGTGCGACTTTTCAAGTTGAGGCATGGCACCCTTCCCAAATCTCAACCATCTTAACCCTTCAAAACCCAAAATCCGTAAAATCTTGAGCCTCTCAAACTGTCCATCCTGGAAAAACAAACTTGATACTTCAGAGGCACCTCCACAGAGTTTAAGCTCAATGAGATTTGGCAAATCTTGTAGGTATTGCAGTGGATCATCCCTTAACCCGCTCCACGATAAACATACTCTGACCAGGCTATGAAGACAAGATATCCAGCGTGGTGCGTTTAATAGACATCCCTCCAAGTCTAGCTTTCGTAGAGATGGTGGAGCTGAAGATAAAGATTTTAGATCAAGGTTCTCATCATCTTTAATAGAAATTGAGCGAACAGACAAGGAGCGAAGGTTGATCATCTTTTCAAGGGACGAGCATAGAGTTGTACCGTCTTCTCTTCTCAACCCTCTAATGTGTAAAGTCTTTAGTTGAGTAAGCTTGCCCAACTCTCCCAGAATACTCTTGCCACTGTTTTGGCTTGTATCGATGCTACCTAGCTTTTGCAGGGATGACAAGTTTCCTATTTCCGCGGGGGCTTTACAACCAACTTGTAAATATTTGGCCTTGGCCTTATACACAAGAAGATACTGAAGTTTCAGAAGCTTTCCTATCGCGATGGGCAAATTAATCACTTCAGTACCTCTCAAATCAAAGGTCTCTAGGTTCCGAAGATTTCCGATAGATTTTGGAATGACTTTCAGGTTTGTTCCCTGCATGCTTAAATACCTGAGATGAAGTAGTTTAGAAACCCCATCTGGGAATGTCTCCAAGGGAACAAAGCTTAAGTCTAAAACCTTCAGCAGCTTACAACCACCAACTAAGAGCGGAAAAACAGAGGAACCATGTCTTGAATCTACCATTTTGAACACGATCAAAGATTGAAGTGTCTGAAAACACTTGGGTTTTGGTACAACTTCAAAGGAGTTAGGGACTGCTAAATGTCGGACTTTCTCAGGCAACCTTACTTCTTGTCTGTTTGTCAGAATTGCCATGTTCTGCTCTCTCGATTTGGAAAGAACAATTTCACGCACAAGGTCCTGAATAAAAAAAGTTTTAGGTTTTCCCTCCATCGTTTTCTTTGTCACTTGGATCAAGTTTCTATTGAGAAGTTCATCGAAATAGCCCTCAGCAAATTTTTGTGTGAGCCCGAAACTTGCTGCAGTCCACAGTCGAATCACTCTTGTCTTTTCAATCGGATAATAATGCTCAGGAAAAATGCTCAAGTACAAGAAACAAATTTTAAGATAGTAAGGCAAATCATAATAACTGAGATTCAAAACATATTTCAGTCTCTCAATTTTGTCATTGCTTTCTTGTTCATCACTCAATTGCCGCTGGATTTCTTCCCATTCGTCCACCAAATTTTTGTCACTCGAAGCCAATGCACTACTAATTGCCACAATTGCAAGGGGCAATCCCTCCAATTTTCCTAGTATATTTCGTGAGGCTTTTGTCAAATGTGGAGGACAAAGTCTGTCTCTGAATGTCTTATTACAGAAGAGAGTCCAAGACTCTCTATCAGATAAGGCCTCCATTTCATGCATGCGACCTTTTAATTCAGAGCATGAAGTATTAGCTACATTAAATATACGAGTTGTGAGCAGTACACGACTACCATAGTTCCCACTAGTAAAGAATACATGCTTGATATCATTCCATGCCTTTACACTCCATATATCTTCTAAAACAATCACGAACCTTCGTGTTTNTGCTGAATAAAAAAAGTTTTAGGTTTTTCCTCCATCGTTTTCTTTGTCACTTGGATCAAGTTTCTATTGAGAAGTTCATCGAAATAGCCCTCAGCAAATTTTTGTGTGAGCCCGAAACTTGCTGCAGTCCACAGTCGAATCACTCTTGTCTTTTCAATCGGATAATAATGCTNGAGAAGTTCATCGAAATAGCCCTCAGCAAATTTTTGTGTGAGCCCGAATCTTGCTGCAGTCCACAGTCGAATCACTCTTGTCTTTTCAATCGGATAATAATGCTCAGGAAAAATGCTCAAGTACAAGAAACAAATTTTAAGATCGTAAGGCAAATCATAATAACTGAGATTCAAAACATATTTCAGTCTCTCAATTTTGTCATTGCTTTCTTGTTCATCACTCAATTGCCGCTGGATTTCTTCCCATTCGTCCACCAAATTTTTGTCACTCGAAGCCAATGCACTACTAATTGCCACAATTGCAAGGGGCAATCCCTCCAATTTTCCTAGTATATTTCGTGAGGCTTTTGTCAAATGTGGAGGACAAAGTCTGTCTCTGAATGTCTTATTACAGAAGAGAGTCCAAGACTCTCTATCAGACAAGGCCTCCATTTCATGCATGCGACCTTTTAATTCAGAGCATGAAGTATTAGCTACATTAAATATACGAGTTGTGAGCAGTACACGACTACCATAGTTCCCACTAGTAAAGAATACATGCTTGATATCATTCCATGCCTTTACACTCCATATATCTTCTAAAACAATCACGAACCTTCGTGTTTGAAGGAATTTCTGGATGGCCGTTTTTAGTTGATTCTCTTGCATGATTTCTAGTCTTTGGGGCAACGTCTCCTTTGTTTCTTCAAAGAGCTGTTCGATCAAGTCCTTTAGGAGATTCACAATGTCAAATGATTGCGAAACTGTGATCCAAGCATGGCTTTGGAATTGCTTCTTCACTTCTTCCTCCTCAAAGACCCTTTTTACCAGTACGCTTTTGCCCGAACCACCCTTTCCTACCACCGAAACCACTTTGAGTTGAGAATCACCATCAAGTAGCCAACTAAGGAGTTTTTGTTTGGGCTTCTTGATACCCACAAGCTCGGCTTCTTTGATATGAAGCGCATCATCTCGACCAACATTACGTGTAGAGCTTGAGCCTTGCTCTATGTTCCGGAATCTCTCTGAACTTGTAAGAATTTTTTCAACCCTGGACTCGATTTTCTGTATTTTGGAAGCAATTCGATGGCGAATTATAAGAGTCTTAGAAGAGGAAGCAGTGCTACGAAGAGAACCGTAGATTCCCTTCCCATGGTCACGATCCAATCGGAGCATGAATTCGTCGAGAACGTCTTTGGTGTCGTGAGCAACATCTTGCAGTTGCTTGACCAAAGCTTGGAGTTGTTGATCAATCCTTTGGTTGGCATCGACAACTCTCAAGAAGGCCATTAATTGCTCCAATTTATCTTTGATGAGCACAACATCTTCTCGAACACCACTTAAAAGGGTTCCCTCTTCAGACAAAAAGGATGTTAGTTCAGTGAGTAGAAAGGATACAGCAATCTCTGCCATAGATTTTGAGGAAATGATTAAATAAAATGCTAAAGCAAATCAACTGTATTTTNAGTTCAGTGAGTAGAAAGGATACAGCAATCTCTGCCATAGATTTTGAGGAAATGATTAAATAAAATGCTAAAGCAAATCAACTGTATTTTGTATTTAAAGTGAGTTAGAGCACAATAAAAGATGACTACTCATTCTCTGTGCTATGAACCTTTCTCTGAAGAAAGTTTCAAAGGAGNTTGTATTTAAAGTGAGTTAGAGCACAATAAAAGATGACTACTCATTCTCTGTGCTATCAACCTTTCTCTGAAGAAAGTTTCAAGGGAGGCATATGAGTTTTTGTAAATTTTTTGCACCTTCAAGATAATTTAGTAGTGGACAAACATATGCCTCACAAGTTGTGGTTCTACCATAATTCAAGTTGAATGTTTCAGTTTGTTAAGTTTGAAAAGTCCAAAGCGCGTAAACTAGTCATGCTGTCATGGTCTAAGAATTTTAAACACGGCTCTCAAATTTGATATTAAAACCACACGGAGTTTGAAAATTCTAAATTTAGTTTTAGAGGCTTTGAGTGGAAAACACAAGAACTCGTAAAACTCAATTGTAATTGTATCCCAAAAAATTTAAGAATTTTTAATTTACACCCTCAAGGATTAGATTTTTCATATTGTATACTCAGGACTGTTTGTTTTGAGGATTGCTGTGGAAGGTATTGAGAAATATATTCTTTATATTTTCAATACCCAGGGAAATTTGTACCGTAATATAAAGTATTTCAATCTCCTTCCATATTTATTGGTTCAACAGGTACTATAGTGGATTCCACAAATAACTATTTATTCTATCACATTTTGTATAACAAATGTACAATTTTATTTTTAATATCATTCATTTTATTACTCAATTCTAGATGTATGTACAAAAATTTTTTTTTTAAAAAAAACCGGTCACACCGTAGGTTTAAACATAATATAAGAAAAAATAATTTAAAAACAAATTTTTTATAAAAAAAATTAATAAAATTTTTAAAAAAACAACCAGAGGTATCGTACGCTTAAACGTAATACAAAAAAAATAAATTCAAAATCAATTTTTTTTTAAAACTAATAAAATTAAAAAACAAAAAATTGTTAGTGACCAAAATACCATATTAACATTAAAGGTCGATGGACAATTCAGTCATTAATCTCCCTTATACCATTGGTGGCCAAAACTCAAAAAATAATACCATCTCCTAGGGTATTATATAAGAGTAATGCAACACTGGCAAAATTTTGGGACCAAATTTAGAGCATAAATGACATGACTGTTAATTATTTAAAGTTTTTATTAGCGCGCAAATTACATGACATCAATCAAAGAAGCTTAACTCAATTGCCATGTCATTTGAGCTCTAAATTTGATCATAAAATTTGATTAGTCTAACATTACTGATTATATAAACTCATGTATATGGGTTTTGGTGAACTGTAGCTAGCGAATCGATATTACGACTTGAAAATTAATATCACACGAAAAAAGACAAACAAACAAGGTATTATTGGGTCACATGTACTATTTTTCCTAATCCTACCTTATACCACTATTATCTTTCAAACAATCATGTCCTCAATGTATTAAAAGTGTTGTTATGTGATTTTTATATTAGCTTCTATTACTCATTTCAACAACTTCAATGACTTGGTTTTTAATGGAATAAGTAATGGGAATTAACAAAAAAATTNATTTTTAATATCATTCATTTTATTACTCAATTCTAGATGTATGTACAAAAAATTTTTTTTTTAAAAAAAACCGGTCACACCGTAGGTTTAAACATAATATAAGAAAAAATAATTTAAAAACAAATTTTTTATAAAAAAAATTAATAAAATTTTTAAAAAAACAACCAGAGGTATCGTACGCTTAAACGTAATACAAAAAAAATAAATTCAAAATCAATTTTTTTTTAAAACTAATAAAATTAAAAAACAAAAAATTGTTAGTGACCAAAATACCATATTAACATTAAAGGTCGATGGACAATTCAGTCATTAATCTCCCTTATACCATTGGTGGCCAAAACTCAAAAAATAATACCATCTCCTAGGGTATTATATAAGAGTAATGCAACACTGGCAAAATTTTGGGACCAAATTTAGAGCATAAATGACATGACTGTTAATTATTTAAAGTTTTTATTAGCGCGCAAATTACATGACATCAATCAAAGAAGCTTAACTCAATTGCCATGTCATTTGAGCTCTAAATTTGATCATAAAATTTGATTAGTCTAACATTACTGATTATATAAACTCATGTATATGGGTTTTGGTGAACTGTAGCTAGCGAATCGATATTACGACTTGAAAATTAATATCACACGAAAAAAGACAAACAAACAAGGTATTATTGGGTCACATGTACTATTTTTCCTAATCCTACCTTATACCACTATTATCTTTCAAACAATCATGTCCTCAATGTATTAAAAGTGTTGTTATGTGATTTTTATATTAGCTTCTATTACTCATTTCAACAACTTCAATGACTTGGTTTTTAATGGAATAAGTAATGGGAATTAACAAAAAAATTATATTGTAATAATTTTAGTACATTAAGAATGTAATACGAGAAATTTAATATTTAAGGGTATAAAATAATTTTTTGTTTTACATTTTTTGGGGTAAAGTGAGATTTCCCTTTAAAAATAAATTAAATAAATTTTTACACGATATGACTTATACAACTTGGAGAGACACAGTTTACAGACAACCGTAAGTCTTACTACACGGAACGTGAAAGTTCATGCTCTCTTTGTTTGAAGTTTCAATTCCCCCGGTCAATAGGATGGACTATGGAGCTTGGAAATTTGATTCTGATGTAGAGCTGTAGACGAGTCATTATGTTATGGAAAGTGAGCAAGTCAACATGATCGAGAGTTCGAGACCTTTAGGCCTTTCTTTGTTTTTTTCTGAATAAATATCCTAGATGTTTCGTGAATTCCAATTATCTGCAGAAAAATTTATTTTGCTGTCATGACGATGATGTTTGTTAGGGTTTTGTCACGGTTCTAAAACGTTAGGTTGCGTTTGGTAATTAGTTGTGTTTGTTTTTATTTTTTATAAAAAATAAAAATATGTTTAATGAATATATATATATATATATTTTTGGTGCTCTATTTTGAAAATAAGGACAAAATATAAAAACATTTGAATGATATTTTTGAAAACATCTAAAAAAAAAAAATAGAAACAATGCACCTCAACTCAACCCTTTAATGAAGTCTCACCTTTGAACCCTGTTAACACAAAAATTTGGAACTTTGGATTGGAAGTATAAAAAATGTCATTTCTCTCTTCCCTAATTGCTGCTCACCCAATTCTTCTCTCCCGTCGGTGTCTCTATGCGAGGACTCTATGGAAGTTGCCGAAGATAGAAGGTTGGATTTTGGTGGGGTTTGAGTGGTTGTTGGTGGAGTTGAGTGGTGGGATTTGAGTGGTTATTAGTGGTGGGTTTCGATAGTTAGTGGGTTTTGGATGGTGGGTTTTGGGTGGTTATTAGTGTTGAGTGGTAGATTTTTGGTACAATACCAAACACCCTCTTTATTTTTGATTTTATAATATTTTAAATATAAATGACTATCAAACATGNTTATATTGTAATAATTTTAGTACATTAAGAATGTAATACGAGAAATTTAATATTTAAGGGTATAAAATAATTTTTTGTTTTACATTTTTTGGGGTAAAGTGAGATTTCCCTTTAAAAATAAATTAAATAAATTTTTACACGATATGACTTATACAACTTGGAGAGACACAGTTTACAGACAACCGTAAGTCTTACTACACGGAACGTGAAAGTTCATGCTCTCTTTGTTTGAAGTTTCAATTCCCCCGGTCAATAGGATGGACTATGGAGCTTGGAAATTTGATTCTGATGTAGAGCTGTAGACGAGTCATTATGTTATGGAAAGTGAGCAAGTCAACATGATCGAGAGTTCGAGACCTTTAGGCCTTTCTTTGTTTTTTTCTGAATAAATATCCTAGATGTTTCGTGAATTCCAATTATCTGCAGAAAAATTTATTTTGCTGTCATGACGATGATGTTTGTTAGGGTTTTGTCACGGTTCTAAAACGTTAGGTTGCGTTTGGTAATTAGTTGTGTTTGTTTTTATTTTTTATAAAAAATAAAAATATGTTTAATGAATATATATATATATATATTTTTGGTGCTCTATTTTGAAAATAAGGACAAAATATAAAAACATTTGAATGATATTTTTGAAAACATCTAAAAAAAAAAAATAGAAACAATGCACCTCAACTCAACCCTTTAATGAAGTCTCACCTTTGAACCCTGTTAACACAAAAATTTGGAACTTTGGATTGGAAGTATAAAAAATGTCATTTCTCTCTTCCCTAATTGCTGCTCACCCAATTCTTCTCTCCCGTCGGTGTCTCTATGCGAGGACTCTATGGAAGTTGCCGAAGATAGAAGGTTGGATTTTGGTGGGGTTTGAGTGGTTGTTG